TGTCCATAGTTGTACAATGAGCAGCTTTGTTAAGAAAATTGATGAAGTTAAATTTCAGCTTTAAAACAGAGTTTATATTATAAAAAAATAAAATCCACATGATAACTATTAGTACAAACCCCTAACATAAAATGTCATTGAGGTTTGCAAGTGGTTTCACTGATCAAATAAGGGAGGACAGACAGACTCAACCCCCCAATAATGCATTTTATTCCCTTAGTCCAAAGAATATATTATATAAAAAAAGTATTCTTGTTATTTACCTTCAGTATCCCTCGAATGTGCATCTTTGCTATCATTTCAGCAGTGAAAAGAAATGTAACAATAAGATCACAACAGAATGTCACATACTGCAGAGGTGGGTGCTTCTCAAAAGTCTTTGGTGTGTTCAAACTGACTGATAGCAGGCTTACCAATGCACAGAATCTCATGAGGCGGCGCACCCAAAGCTGTAATATCATAACAGATCCCATTTGTAATGACAAATAAAATAGACTATATATAGAAAATAATAAAATTGTCAATAAAGAACTCCATTAGATTAATAGTACAATAGATAACACCAGGAACTTAATATTAAAATACAAATTCATAATAAAAAGAATCAAATGTAAACTATGGTCATATTTAGAATATAAATGCACAAAGAGTTACAGTCTAATGCTTAAACATACCTTTAAAAAACAGTAATAAAGGAAGACCCTTTTCACAGTGAAAACGTGATATTTGTTTTTGTTTTGCAATATAAGTATATGATGATTTACATGACAAAAATGATAAATGACATACGTATATTTAATTTTTAACAAATGCAACTTCTTATTAAAAAAATTATACCTGAATAACATTTATTATTCTGGTATACAATTCAAATTACACCTCTCAAGAGTGTCAGAAAATTACATCATAATCTACATGGCTTGAAACCAGTCAAACTATGGAGGAAAGACTAATTATGATACATAAATAATGTATACAGGCCTATTAATGATGTTATTTAGGTTAAAAATTTTTACAATATCAAACAGACATTATGTTAAAACCAAAACTTATTTTCGTTTAACAATAAAGTTACTATAGACAACTATCTTCAGATGTAGTATGGTAGAAGTTAACAACATTTCAGAGGTCCTTGCTGCCTCCATCATCAGGATCCTACTAAGTTACTGTAAAATTTGACATTACAGTTTCTTACTTCTGGTATGTCTTTATCTTATTTTCAAACTATGATGACTCCATAACACTTCCAAATGGGACTCATGTTAACAGGACTTTAACTAAGAACCACTTGTTTAATGTACTTAGGAATTGTGGCACTCATCATAAACCACCAAGCTTGTATATTTTATTCGACTAGTACCATGCCATGCTTCAGGTGGCTGGACACTATACACTCTCACCACAGAGACCTGAGATCAATCTAAGGGCAGTGAACATAAGATTTATGGCAGAAAAAATGGTAATACAGCAGGTTTTTCTCAGAGTACTTCAGTTCATTCTGCATCAATCATCATTCCACCAAAGCTCCACACTCATCTACCACTGCCAGATGTTTGTTTTATTTAACAGTGCTGTCAACAGTTCAGACTGTGCAATATGCCCAATCAAACAACATGTTACTTCAACCTCTGTCCTCAGTTCACTCAGCACTTGGCTGAGATCAAAGTAAAGTAGCGTAAGCATGACAGATCAACTAAGGCACTTGTTAAAACACAAAAGCAGAATTACCATGTTCACCCATTCAATATCTGCACTCTCATTCAAAGCTTCTTCTGGTCCATAGTCTGCAAGCACAGGTTCACCCTTTAGACTCTGCTTCCTTCCAAGCATCATGGTGCTCCTAATACAGAAAGAACAGATCAGCTCCTTGGCCACTACAATTCTAAGTTTATCATTAACAAATAACATAGTGACGAACAACCACCAAGCTGAACATAACCTGCTGAATGACCAATCTGGCCTGCAAAAAACTAAAAACATATTAATACATATATTGGTATATTACAGGCAAAATAAATGACATTTTTACATCCACAAATTTAAAAACATAATCAATAAGAATATGTCATATCACCAAAAGAATCATGCCAGAAGAGGATATAAAACATAGTCAGAGATATCTATCTGACAACATATCATATTATGATGTATGTCATGGCAGAAGGGTATAATGCTGATGTTGCTCTATACAGAAATATAGTTTCATTTGGGTGTATGAATGAAAATAATGCATGCCTGTCAAACCAAATAAATGTAAGATTTTTTTTATGTGAATCAACCAATTTTTTGATAGGCCCTTCTGGCATGTTGCCCTCAACATATTCTATCTTGTAATAATGCTAAACATTTTGTAGTTAATTTTAATTTAACATAACATAGAAATCTGTTAATGGATTTTATTAACAGAATTTGGCATGTGGCCCAGGAAATGTTTATGATTTTCTATACAGGCCCTTTGCAAAATGTCATTCACCAATTATTTAATGTGTCAGAGATGACAAACCATTTAAAACCATAGTAACAAAAAATGTGTTAAAAACTGAATACATAATTTAAAATGACTGTTTACCCACTTGATTAAAACACCAATCTTATTCACAAACCTGAACACAATAAAGCTGCAGCACAGAGGACAATTACTTCAGGATTGTATGTTGCAGTCTCCAAAATCACAAGAAAATGTCAGGGTATCCTTCATATCTAATTTTATTTCTCCGCCCTGTAACGCATAGGTGAGAACAAAAATGTTCAGTGAGAAGTACATAATTTAAAAATGTGTTCTTTGCAATTTTTACACATCATTTTCTTATAATCACTCACTGCTGAAATACATTCATTGTTGCTAACCTACTACACATAAATTCAAAAAAACCCAATGAATAGATTAATAGACGAAATACTGTGTCTGAAAAATACTAGTGACCTTACCATTAGATGGGAGGTGAGCAGTCAGCATCACAGCCCGACCGCGCTTTACCCCCTTTACCAATTAGATAGGAGGCTGGGTGGGCCCCAGAACCGGTCTGGACGCAGAGGCTAGAGGAAATATCCTTTGCCCCCGTCGGGGATCGAACCCCGTTCGTCCAGTCCCTAGCCAGTCACTATACTGACGGAGCTACGCCAACAATCACGTAACTTGTCACAATTCAGTATTGCACAGAACGTATTTGAAACAAACTGAACATAATTTTTTCTGTATTCAATCTTTATTTACAATAATTACTAACCTTACCAATACTCTTCTAACAATCCCGAACTATGAAAGCCAATTCACTAACCTGTCACTCAGTGACTTTGGGTTTCGGTCCAACTTACCTTCACATGATATGGTTTAGCTTTTGCTGGGATTAAAATTCAGATACTGCAAAAGTTCTTAAATCGAAATAAATTCGAACATGATTATGAAGTAATGTTTAAGGGACCATATACCTGTCAAAATCGAAACACATTTCCGCCATGTTGTTCAAAGTGTGATGAGCACTGCAATAACCACACGGAGTAAAATATTCCTTAGATGTCTGTATTCTGGGTTGTAGCGCCGTGGAGGCAGCAAGGATCACTGATTTTCTTTTTCTTTTCCCGTATAAGCCCAATGACCCGTTATAGACATTACATAACAGAATCCTTCCATCTTTTAGAGGAGTCGGCCCAAACATCTCTTTCGTTTGGTAGTATCTTAAAATCATGTTTGGTATCCTGCCTGAAATCATTCAGTGTACACGATCTTTTCAGGGTTTTTTTGTGGGAGGAGGAAGTGTTATAAAATCTAATATTGGTGTAATGTTTTGTTAGGTTGTGCCTTGTAATCTGGTAGTTTATCGACTATTAAGAGGTCTTTAATGTTTCCATCATCATGCCCACAAGGGAAGACGCATAAACATAAGGTTTGCAAAGTCAATGCTGCAAAATGTACTGGTGGAATGAGCCATTTAAAACACCTAAGTTGTCATTGTGGCTTATGTTGAATGTCTGCAACTAACTTCAGTTCAAATTGTTTTGGCTGCTCTAGCTCTATAAAACTCCCAAAATTTAATACCATCTAAACTCCACAGTCCAAATGGTTTCAATCACACTGAACCTGTTAAGCAGAAACTTCCAGAATAGAACCAGCCTTGCACATTATAAGCCCAGCAAAATGCTACATCCAGGATTTTATGCCATTCAAAAATTTTAACTTGACATTTCTAACAGAACGTAGTAGTGTACAGCTAAGCACTTGTGCATCATATTTGAGGGATTGTAAGGTTTGAATTTCAACTCAGACTGGCTGTTCAGATTGACATATATCATTTTCCTCAGTCCTGCTAGACAAATAATGGTAGAGCACTATAGCATTTTTGTATCACCATTTGCAATCATTAGTGGCATATACATGTGCACTTTAAACAAGATATCAATTAATCAGTCCCATTTGAAGTGATGGGCAAACCTGCCATGGTTGCAAAAACTTTTCTTTGGTATCAGCTGAATCTGCAGTCTTTGGCTCAGTCATGTTGGCAGTTTGCTCAATCACTGTTAATTCCCAATGTTGAAAGGAATTGAACAAACCATGTATGTCATCTCTGCGGCTTGTTTACTTGAAATTATTTAGGTAACTTCAGTGGTTTCTTTGAATATCCTATACAGTGTGGAGGGTCTGGGAAGGCAGGTTTTGAAGATTGTAAGTATATGAGAAGTGATATTCACCAGGTGGGGAGGAAGGTTAAACAAAGATTTTACAGATAACCTTTCATCCTTTAAGTGAAACTGTACAGCTTCAGAAACTTTAATGAGCAGTGATAAGAAGTGCCCAGAAAGTCATTAATGAAATTGGTAGGAATGTTCTTTATGTGATGGGCAGCTAGGAAGAGCTTATAATTTATAGCAGGCACCTTATGCATCTACTGATAAAAAATGCAAATTGAATTAGAAAGTATAACACACTTATTTGCACACTCTCAACAGTCCAGTATCTGTAACTCCTGCATTACCTCATACCTCATGAAATGAAAATACCAATATATAAAAATTACATAACATTTAATTTAGATTAAAGTCATACTGCAGAATTACACAGTCACATTCACAACATGTTTCTGTAAGGACAAATTAAATAAAAACAAGTATGCCTTTGAACATCATGGATTTTTCATGCCATTACATTTTTTTCCATACAATTAACAGAAAATACTACACCTGAGTGTTACATACTAAAACACAGCTATGGAAGAAAATACTTTGTGATTGTCCTGGGCACTTAAGAGCGCACAACTTTGTCCTTCCAAATAAATCTCTGAACTGTGAACGTGCTATAATTCCGACAGAAGTCATCCTTAAGCAAATGCAGATCACCATTTAGATGCTGAAACAAATACATAAGATTCATATACTTGTATAATATTATAACATGACATTATGTGGAATTTGTCGTTTTCTCACAAGATTTATTTTATACGGCTGTTTACTGTGCATAACACACAGTTCATTATCCCCAACATGTTATATACCTAAACTGCACTTAAAATTACTTCCTTTTCAGACACAGTGCAATGACATTCTGTGCAATTACATACATCTCCGTCACACTTTAAACGTGAAATAAGTATGTCCTTCCGAACCTAGATTTATGTTACAAAAATTCCAAAAGACTAACCACATACTAAGAAGTTCTGAATGAACAAACTTTCAACTTCACAAAATAAATGTTTATATGGCATACGCTGGACAGAATTCAGTACATGAATCTACACTCTCCATTATTAAAAATAATTTCTATAAATTACCAAAGATGTAAGATGTTTTTAATATATGAAAACTACATGGATTTCATTCACACATGTGGATTACAACAAAAATTCTGAATGCAAGCAAAGTACTTCTTCACAAGCCTATTTGCTTGGAACAACCACCACTGACAGTTGTCTTTAAATCAATTGAACAATCAACAAAGAAAATGTCTTAGCAGTAAATGTTTGTACCTTTTGTATTAATGGCAATAACAAATATAAACATCTATAGAGTTATGACTTTTTAATACATTCTTCAGTGTTCTGCTTGTCTAAATTACATTAAGGATAACTTCAAGACAACTCAAGCCAAAGAAAAAAACCTAAAATTTTAGTCTGAGAGCAAAATATAAATGACAAAACACATATACATAGGCCATTACTTTAATCAAACAAACAGATTAAAAGGCCAATGATATGAACATAATGGCAAGTGAGGGGCTCTGTTGAATATCTGTGAATTTAAAGAACTGTCAATGTAACATTAAGTGGCAGGTTAATTTTCTCAAAGACCTTGTAAGTGTGTAATGTACACACAATGAACATGACACTGCCACTTCTTGTTATTTCACATCACAATTAGAGGACAAGAAATCTCTCACTGCAATCTCAGCATATGGTGGTGTGAATGATGTATCACCTCTGTACATTCTATGAAGAGACAAACCCACCGGGAGTATGAGAAAGAAGAGCCCAGTAAAATGTTCATCAAAGTCAGAGTCTATTCACATGATTCCCTCTCACATAACTCTGCAATATTACATGCAAGAAGTGCATTTGTAATTTTAAAATGAACTGTAATTACTACCGCCCATCTGGCTACTGTACCCCATTCCACTCCCCAAGCTGCCTGAATATCCTCGCTGGAAACTGCTCCCCAAACCTGAAAGCAAGACAGAAACAGAAGACACCATGAAGCCTCAGAACACATACAGGCTGTTTAATATTAACATACCAGAAGTATGTCTACCAAACTGCGTATTCACTCTATGACCTAGTGTGTGGCCACAGCATACTCATCTACCTGGCAGCACAAACAAAATAAATCATCAGATTATTTACTTACCGCCTCCAAAGCCTCCACCTCCAGTACCACCCCCAAATCCACCACCACCCATACTTCCGAAGTTGCCACTTCCCAAACCACCACCACCTCCTCCAGAGTTACCGGGCGTGGAATTCAAGAACAGCTCTATGTAACGATGTTGCATATGTCCTTTATCCTAAAATGAAAGCAAGTACTTTAATTCTCAGTTAAAAATTGCTAAATCACTAGACACAGCCAAAGCAGTTATTTACCCTACGGAAAGAGTCCCCAGTACTTGTAAGTTGGGAGACGATGTTTGATTGTCTCCTCTGATCGACTAGAACATGATCAATTTGATTATGGGTCATCCCATTAGGGGAAGTCCAAGTGTGATCATGGATATCAAGATGTGGGAATGTTGTGCTTTCAACAATCAGATTTTTGGATGTGGCGAAGTTCACCAATCTCACTCCATTGTCATTTCTAAATTCATGTAAACTCTCACTAGGTAGTTACCGACATTTTGAAACACTGGAATCAACAAACAAGTCCACATGACATTGACAGTGACATTTTCAAAGCCATGAGAACCTCAAACCACACAAGAATACAACATGCTCAGATAAGGAGCCTGATTCTACACAGGTTTCTAACACCTTGTACTCTTTTAATAGCAATTTACTTACTTTGGACATGCCTTTCACTGCCTCTTCATGAGTTGCAAACTCTACATCTGCTTCTCCAGATGCACGACCACTGTTATCATACAGGAGACGAATGTTTATTGGCACAGCTGGCCTAAAGAACTGAAAATTACAAAAGTTATTACACAATACAAAATTATTTTATAACCACATTTTAAGAAAATTTAAACTTAGAGGACCAACTACATATGCACTCATCTTTAGCTCTAAGTAAAATTTTAAGCATAAAATCATCATTATTGAAGTAGTCAAGGCATTCATATTTTTAAAATCCATTACCACACAAAATCTCAAGACCCTACATTACAGCAGTCAACATGTAGCTCCCTCCTTACACATCTGTATGGCCACCATGTTTTCAAGTATAAAAACTACAAAGGTGGGAGGAGCCCATAGTAGCATAATTTTCAAAAAATGCTTCAAGAATATTCATCACGTGATTCAAAAGCTACTGGTGAGGGGAAGGGGGAAGAGGAAGAAGAAAGAAAAAACACACACAAGATACTGTAACATGGCAGAAATCTCACAGACAATCCAAGTAGGATCTGAAACTTTCATGACAACCAAGAATAATTAATTCTTCTTGGGCTACAAGCCATGTCTTTTCACATTTTACCATTCAACCACTTGACATGGCTAGTAGCCCAAGAAGAAATCATAATGTGTGTGTTTGTTACAAAGATGATCTGGCCTTACATCAGCAATATCTGCCTGTGTTGCTCTGAATGGCAGTCCTCTCATGTGGATGCAATGCCCACCACCTCCGCCACCTCCCCCCAGCCCAGTTCCATTGCTGCTCCAGTTTCCTCCACCTGCACCTCCACCAGCACGACCGCCACGACCCATTCCTAGTCCACCAAATCCACCAGAGTTCATATTCATGTTCATATTTAGACCACCTCCACGGCCACCTAGGTTGCCACGTAGACCAGGACCACCACCGCCACTGCCCCAAGATGAGTTGAATCCCCAAGGACTTGGTCCATCATCAAAATCTCCAAAACCTGAAAAGTCACAAAACAATACTGTGCTTTGCAATTACGTGCAGAGATAACCTGGATCACATAAATGATAATAGAAATATTGCACAGCTGATACTGACTACTGTAACAGAACAACTACCTTCATGTAACAATAAAAAGGCTGGGACCTTTTCTTATTCTAATAGTAAAATTTTATCTAATGGAAAAACTCAAAAGGAAATTACAGAGAATCCAGAGACACAAATTTTAACATATGGCATGTAGCCAATGTCCATTATGTGTAACTGTATGAGTTTGCCATTCATGCAACATGGAAACATTTGAAATTCTGATGGCTGTATCTCTGGTAGCAACAAATTCACAACATTCACGTTATACTATACTAGTAATTTGATATCAGCACTACTATAAGTTAGGTACAGCATGAACCTGCCTTCAATGACAATGACATTGGGCACAGACCTACAAAAGTGTTAGGGTCACTCACCTTCAACTATACCAATATGGCCAATCCAACCACAAACTATCCTTCACACATACAAACTCACCCTTAAAGCTCCGAGATCCTCTGCCTATATTGTTGTAACGATTCATTCCACCAAATCTATCACCTCTGTCATATGGGGCAGGTCTTTGATTGAAGCCTCCTGGACCCATAGGACGCATCTTTGGTCCAATAGCAGCTCGAACTTCTGATAAACTGCTACGGAATATTTCGATGTACCTGAATCAGGCAAAGAGTAATGTAATTATGACATTATAAAATCATGAAATATCAAAATGATCTAAATCCTCTGCAAAATTAGATTTAAGCTAATTTAAACAAAAAACATCTAATTCTCAGTGCTGTCCAACTCAGTTCTCTTTAATAATATAGCCCAGCCATCAAGAAAACAGCAGCAATATAAATAACAACATGGTTTCCAAAAAGTGCTGCATCATATCCATCCAAATAATCACATTTATGTGAATCTATAAAATATCAGAGTTAGAGATTATGCAGTTTAAAATATAAAATGTATGTACACAGCTGCCTGGTTAAAATATTCACAATAATGTGTGTGCATAAATCATTTTCAAAGTCAATTGTAGACTTCTGGGTTGTAACAATGTAGTTAACAGATGGATGTCAAATTTTGGGTAACGTTCTATCTTCATCAAACCTCAAAACAGAGGACATATGTAACCACATACAATACCACACAGCATCACTAACCAGCAAATCAAGACCTTTAAACAGTGAGAATTACAAATCTGAGACATTAAAAAACCAATCCTTCAAATCAGATCACAAGAACAAATAAGACAATCACCTGAATTTTAAGAAATTCACAAAGGTAAACAAAAGCTTTTAATATGGTGATATACCATTTTCAGTCTTAAAAGAAACTGCATCATGAGAGCAGAATTTGAGGTTTTCAAGCGCTTGAGTAAGAAGATGGCTGTCTTCAGGGTTGTGGCATCATGTAGTCTGGTAGGAGTTTACCAATGTTTCACAGTTCCTTGCTGCCTCCATTATCATCCAGAAGACAACCATCTTTGCATTATGAGAGTTTCTCGACCACAGTGATGAATCCTGGTTTAGAAGCCAGGCTGTGCAGAAATGTGTTATTATTAAATCCCCAGCAGCAATCATACCCCAATGCTAAGGCATTTAACAACAATAATAAACATTTCTTTAATATTCCTCCAATTTTAGTGGTCTAGCTGCACATTACTAGCCAGAACACAGCATTCACCACTAACACCCCATCAAAATTATGTAATTTTCTTTTCTCCCCTTTAAAGGTGTTTGTCCAGGTCTTCTACATTTCATTACATTAAGAACATACTGCAACTAGTTATGTCACTACACCATTTCTGACATGGTGATTTTAAACCTGACACTGCCTTCTTACATGCATGCAGTATCTTCAGGCTTTATTATTATGATATACCTTCATACACTATGCCTATTGCAGACTCATCATTTATTCTTATTCACATGACCAGAACCTAGTGAAGAGGAGGCAGGGTAGGTCCCAGAGCCACTCTGGACACAGCGGTGCAAAAGGAAAATACCTGTCCCTGCCAGGAAATGAAGCCACCACCTAGTTCATAGCTAGTCAATGACTGAACTATCCTGACTCTATATACAACTGCAAATATTGAGCCACAATTTTTCATTCTTCAGCTAAAACCATTGCAAATAGAATGCAATGACTCACATAATGTAACATTCTTGTATGTAAGTTCCAAGTTGGACAACACTGGTCTCAATTACCAATATAATTAAAATATTGAAAATTATCCTTAGTTACTATGTAATAGAATAAGAGACAAACACTTTAAATTTATTGATATTTCAAAGCCTAAAACACCTTCAGCAATTCAAGGAACTAGTAATAAATTTCAAGCCTATTGTTTCTATTACAAACTACCAGAAAATATCTACTGTGTAATGTCTTGAGCAATTCATGTGACTAAAACACAGAAACCCAGTCTTATCTCCTTATCCAACTGTCTACAAATACCTCCAATTCATGTTTTGCATTAATGTGCTGAAATGGCATCAGTAGTGCAGACACTTTTGTATCAAAAGAATACAGCATTCACTAAGCATAATTGTTATTAGTTATTGAACACCTGCTGCTAGTGTAAAAACGTTTTGAAGTCTTAGTATAATACCACACCTTAATTTGAATCTAGGCTGGAAGCATTTCAAAGCCAATGATTCAATGAAACTGATAAATATATCCATTCTCAGACATCATATCAAAACCAATGGACCATTCATTAACCTTTTAAACACAGGATTACTAAACTCTCAAGGCAACTATTTTAGGTTTCAAACAAGACAGTAAGTGGCTGTTTATCCTTCTATGTGGGGGAATTTAAAACCCAGGCCCTAACCTGGTGCAAGAGGAATTTTCATTGGTAGTGCACACCATTCAAAACTGACAAATATCTATGCCTGCCATTTGTTCAACAACAAAATTATAGATCCTGTCAATACACTTGCCAAATTAGAGCCTGGACTTTTGTCCTGAAGGCTACACACACATTAATTCATGTAGTTCAAATACTATTTGCAAGATAGAAACACAAAACAGGGGTTCTCTGCGGACAATGAAACTTACTCCACAGCTGTGGATGGTGACAGTGTAACTTGCACTATATGGTACTTCATGCTGACAAGTTGAAAGGACTGCCACATGCTTAGAATTAAATCATTACCCACCAGTGTGCAGTGTTTGATATTCTGACCAATGTACTTTTAGAGTTAAATATAATTCTTTTATAAAAAGTGTCCTAGGTACTTTTACTATGTTATTTTATGAAAATTAAGAAACAGAAGTTATAGACTTAAGGAGCTCAATTATTAACTGCTAAACCATTCCATCTACACATGTAATCAATAAACTTAGTGCATGCAATGGATGGTACCAAAGAACTTGGTGAGAACAATAATTCAGAGAGAGAGAGAGAGAGAGAGAGCGAGCACTCAACAGTCTTTTGGTTCACAGCTTCTCAAGATAAAATCATGTGGAAACAGAACACTGAATCATTTACATCTGGACAAAAAGTTGGCATATTAACATTTTATTCTACTTCCCATGTTTAGAAGGTTAATGAGACTTCAACTACCAACATAACATTTCTCAAGCCCTGGTGACTGTTATCAAAGTTCAATCACAAATATCAATCTTTCAAAACAACATTTGTCCTGTGAATAGATCATAAAAGAAGCTTCAATCAAACTCGATTGCAAATGCCTTAAACACTAAAACTAAGTGTCAAAGATATTTACACTGTAGAGCTATCAACAGTTACATACAGGCATATTTTTAATTTGCGGTAGATTCTGATCCATTGGCGCCCATCAAGCAAAAGAACCAGAGTTGTATAGTACAGAGTGGTCTTTAACACACTCAACTTTTAAACTGTCCCTGCTCAAATTTCATTCTTGAAGCAAAGGAAGACTATTCTAGATGGCATGATGAAATTGCTTTCCCATAATTTCCCTTTCCCACCAAAATATACAGAATGACACTGTATCAACTGCTGAAGTTCTGTTAATGAGAGAATGAATGTTATGGCTGACATGCCAAGAGGGATGGTGAATTAAGCCAGACTTGTTATAGTTCTATCATTACCGTCACCTGCGAGATGAAGTGGAAGAAAGGTAGTTTAAATTAATTAAAATGGTTCCCAGTTTACATACACAGAATTAAATATCTAAGGTCAGTATAACAGGGTGAAAGTTATCTGTTCTTGTACTTCATCAACAGCAATCACTTCTATTCTATTTTCCTCACTTTAATAATAAATTCCTTCTAATAATTTGCTTTTAGTTCCACTTGTCACCTACCACAACAATAAGGAGTCCAATCTAGAGGTTTCAAGAACTCAGATGTATCTACAAATACTTATTAACAGAACACAATGACAGAATGGTGAACTTGTCCTGCAGCAGGTTATATATTTTCCTCTTTCAATATTTCATTTTTTAAATTGCAATTTAAATTAAAAATTTTCAAATTTAAATTTGTATCCTTATTCAACAATGAACACAGCTCTTTGAATATTAAAACTATATTTTAAGAGTGCCTTATTTATAGCTCGGTTTATTTTTATTTGCAGGTTAAGTACATTTAGGATAACATACTTCCTCTTACTACAAAGAAGCACCACAATATGGAGATAACAGTAATATGATCAATTATTTAGGAGGATCAAAACAAATACTTTTATAAACAAGAGTTAACTACAGATGACATTAACATTCCTTCTTCAAACATGACATCACTTCCTAATATACATGTAGAGAATGTGTAATAATAATAATCTGCAAAATGCCCTTGATTAAATCTCAAACACAGGACTGTAATCTCAGAAGCTTTCAGATTTTCTCAGTACCTCCAAATTAATGCCATAACAGTTCACGTGCATGTCAAAAGCTCCCTATTTTCAATCATCATCACATCTAATGTAATGCTCCATAACCTCTACATTTGATACAGTATTATTAAACTCCATATAAGCCAAACACATAAGTCTGTTGGTGTTTAAAATAGTGTCCCAAATTTTCCTTGCTCTAAAACAGGGATCATTAATTTCTTCATACCTGGAGTCCAAAAACATGTCAAGTTCGACAATAACATTTTATACTTATCTTATTAAATGTCAATATAATGAGTTTATTATTGTAAAGACGTTTTTTAAGAAGTCAGTCTGAAACTCTGCATTAAACCAGAGCCTTACATGCATTTCATCACACAGTACTTGCAATCATTCACAATGTATGAACTGCATCAGTTCAGTGACCTGCCTCTTACAGTGTTATCCTTACAAGTAAACTAGACTCCATTTTAATAACAATAATATATTATTCAAAGTTACAAATACAAAACGTCTTTTCAATGCCTTTGCTACATCCTTAGAAAGTCATTTCAGCATTACAGTAAACAAACTTTATCATTACTTATGAAAGATAAAGGGTACATTCAGTTGTAACCACAAGCTATGCTGCAATTTAATCACAAGTGCATCTCCAATTTGAAGGCAGGGAAGCACCACTGAGGTTTGACAGGAAAGTAGAATATCTGGCTTTTATACATAGTTTGCTACTTGACCACTACATATCAGAAAGAGTCTGCTATGTAAAAACATCAAGATGGCCATATTTAATTCATGTTTTCATATACAACTGCAATCAACATTACCTGTGTTTAATGTAAAAACAAGGAAAATAGTAGAACAAATTCCAAGTCTTCAAAACCAACAATTACATGTGAAAATAGCAAAATGAAGTAGTTGACTAAATACATATTATTTTTATTAAAAATCCCATCTTACCTGATGTTGACAGCATAAAAATTAATACATATTATGAAGAGCAACCACCTACCTTGTCAGTACCCCATGCCCTTGGCAGAATATGAATTTACTCTACAATGTACACCCAGCCACAACTTGGGCTGATGTGTTATGAGACAGACAGAGTGAGGTATACCGTAGTAGAATAGGAGGTTTGGGTTTTCAGCCCACCCGGTCCCTCCCTTCCATATCAGCCTTCCCCACCTGTGTCCTATTTTATCCTTGTGTTTCTGCAGAGCTTTCTCTGCCACTTCTTTGTTTACAAACTGAACGTAAGCCTCCCCCGTACTCCTTCCCGTGTAGTCAGTCGGTAGGGAAATCCCGTTGGGTACTATCTCCAACCCTACCCAACCAATAAACATATGCCCACAATCAACACACAACAAAATCAGATTGATACAAACTTCAATAAGTATTTCAGTTCCAATGAGCAGATGAAGTGCTCAGAGTGTATTGCAAAGTTTTGCTACTGTTTATACTTTATACTTGTACAACACAATAGGTTCACTGTCTAATTTGAAAAAGGAAAAATGTGTTCATTTTAAACAAAAAGAGTAGCACACTCATAGCAAAGCCTATGTTTAAGTCCTTCAAGATCCAATTCAAGAAACTCCTATAATACAAAATCAGTACCACACCAACACACTCTCTCATTTTGTAGAACCTTAGATTAAAAACAAAAACAAGATTTGTAGAAATGAGATACTTTATGTACGCAACCACTGAAGGGCTTCTTGTGGTCACAAGTAACAAAACATTTACAAGGTCTGAAACAAAATAACTACACTGATTTTTATGTAATAACTGGCAACACTGGTCAAGTTCCTTCTTGTTAATCACGTAAGCACATGATTCAGCAACGTTATGTCAAATAATTATTCAGTCAGTTTTATAACTGAAGTGTCTCTTGGGTGACAACTATTAGAATAAAAACAATACATTTTTTGCGACCATGGGACAAAATACCAGTGGCATTTATAAATACTGATCAATGAGTAGAACGTGCTTCTGTGTGGGTCAAGCAATTTCCAGATGGAAGGGAAGATATTACAGAAAATGTAAAGATTCGGCCAGCTTAAACAAATTGATCCAAATGTTGAAAACGTGAACAGGGAAGAAATTATAAATAAATGACTGGAAGATGACAAGCACTGAACAAGAAAAGCAGACTAATTAAGACCAAAGATCTGAACATGAAAAGTATGCCAAAATGGTAGTGAAATACTCAGACACATACAAAAATGGAAAATGAAACTTCACCAAACCTTTCAGAAATACTGCTGGAAGCAGCCCACTTTTTTGGGTGGGGGGGGGGCTAACTGGTTATGAGATCCGGGTCTTCCAGAATGACCCCAAAACAAACTAACAAAGTCTGCAACAAGCCATTAGTCATCCTTTGTTTTGTTCAGACTAGTAAAAAAAGTATACTTTTAGTACAGGACACAAGCATTTTCTAACATTCTGTTTTAATCACACCAAATACAAAATTACAGATCTTCATAAAACATACATTATCAGTCCTGTACCTTAAGTTTTATCACGTTAAATGTCACTGATTTTCAACTTCACTTCAGAAAATACTATTAGGAAAATTTCAATATTACTGGAACTGCTATTCTAAAAGTGAAATAACTGCCGATCACTGCAACTTCCTTGCTTGTACTGCTAGTCAACAGCGAAGCCTTTGCAATACACCCTCAGCATTACCAAAATTAAAACTGTCATATTCATGAAGACTAAGGATGTATAAAAAAAATAGGTTGATGGTGATAATTCATAGACAACCAAGATCCACGAAAAACTGAATGTCTTATGTTTCACTTATTTCACATTATGAATTATGTCCACCCACGGAAGCAACAGAAAAACGTAAGGTGGACTCTAACTGAATTTAATGCAACAAATAAATATTAAAAAAACTGATGCCATCAAATTCCATATTAAGAAATAATAAAGGAATAAGTTATTTTTGATAAAATAAAAATTACAAACCAACAAAAGCAACAGTGAGCAATCTTTGCTGCACAAGGCAACAAAATTATATTTGACTGAACTAAAGTGTCTGCAATAAAAAAAATTCTTAGAAAAAGAAAAAATATTATAATGAAGTGTCGCAACTAACATTTTTAATTTTACAGATGGAATAACACCTATTCAAAAATTGCTTTTTAGTTTTCCAGTGAAATTAGCCCAAGAAGCATGTGCAGAATTTAAACTGCTCACAAATGATCTAAATAATGCACAAAGTGTAAAAAAATAATGCATGAATGTCTTATACAGACCCTCCCCATGTTAAACAAATATCAAGTTTATGTAAAAATAAGTTATTCTGAACTATTTATGCCATGATCTTGTAAGTAAAATTAATCACAAAATGCATCAATTTCTTTAAACATAGTACTACTACAAATTAACGCATGTTAGGTACTTTTGATCCCTGCAGAGTACCACTGAAATATATGACAAGTTTACATATTGAACATAATTATCAATATAAATAAACTTCCACTTAAAAGGGTCTACAGACAACCCTTGTGTAAGTTGAGGACTGTCTGTATACTTACTTTCAAGTGACTAAGACTGTAAATTTTCCTAAGACAATTATCACCATCACACTATTTCTCAATCATAATCATTAGACATAACTTCCATCCTAACACTATAAAAAAGGTACATTCACAATTGATTTGATATCTGCATTTTAAAATGAAAATCTGTATACTATCCAGAATAAGTCAACAATGCTCTACCAATTTAACCATGACTCATCCCTTATTGTATTACCATCAGTAACAGACTTTTGAGAATTTTTTTGTAAATTTATCTAGAATATTCTGTACAAAGGCGTTCATCTACTTATTAGTGACAATTAAAAAGTGATATTTTGTCATTAGAGAAAAAAAAAGTATGAAGCTAACATACCTGAAAAGAACTGTGCTATCTCTTCTTTCGAGCAACCAAATGGTAGTCCTCGGAGTCTCACACAACCATCATCCATTGCATTTTCCAAGTTCAAGCCACTACGTTTCACAACCCATTCCATTTCAGATCGTTTGGCCTTGAACACTGAAACAAGGGAACCCATTACATATGGGTCATGGTTACACTATGATTCCCCAACCAAGTGTGCATGTGAGTCAAAGAAACTTTCTTCTCTCACACGATTAAATCCAACACATTCACTCGACTTCACCACATCCAACAAAGGCCAGCTTCTGTCCAGCGAGAGAAATTCCCTAACGTTTCTGGATCCTGAAGGTTCATTACATGTTCACAACAGCCACAACTGGATGCCTTCTAAGCACAGAACATGGTCTACTCCAAAAGTTAATTCTTGCCTTCAAGCAAAGTTTAAGCTCTCAATGGTCAACATGGTCACCACACTTCCCCTTAGTATTTGGATACTTTGAAGAGTGAACTTCAACATAACTCAAACTCTACACTTATAATAATTTACAAGTTAAAAATTCTGTTTATACATATCCACTAAACACAAAATATGTACTTTACCCAAGAACATACATTTTACACCTACCTCTCTCTCCAAAAAGAACACAAAGGCAATATCAACAAGAATGTAAGAGATCAAGAAAAATGACAATATAACTAAAATTACAAGATATAACTACAAAGTCACGCACCTTCGATATACCTATGTCCCATGTGATCCCTGTCTTTCTTGCAAGCTTTTTCAATATCTTCATCTGTTTCCATTTCCACATATGCCTCACCACTTGGTCGTCCTTCTCTGGACATGGTCATATGAATACCAAGCTTCCCATCTTTTATACTGCAGTCACCTGTGTGTATAATACACGTTTACTACTAAATTTTCTAAAGAACATGCTGAAAAACACAAAGTTCTGAAAAGACAACAATCCCTAGAAGAATTGTTAAAGTCATTATACAAACACCTTGCCCAGCTCTTATTTTTATTCACTGGCAGTTCCTAAATAATTTGTTTCATTGAAAGTAAATTGATTTAGAAGAACGAAAAAATTGTTTTCCGGCATGCAGCAAAACATTCACCCACCAAAACCTTCACCAGTCACAAGAAAAGATTCTCATACTCACTGAAAAACTTAAGAATCTCATCTACTGTGGTTGACCATGGCAAACCTCGAAGCTTCACAACATAGCTCTCATCATCATGATCACCAGATCCAGACATTGTCTCCTTACAATGTGCTATACAAATGCAGCAAATGAACACAGCGTTTCTGAAACCAGTCATAATCACAAACACAATAGAACAAAGAAAACTTCTGGCTCAAATCCAAATGACACTAGCCATAAATATGAAATAAAAATACATGGTGTAAAAGAAAACAATTAATTTTGTGCTCTTTGTGTAGATGAAATCAGACATCCATTTTTACCCACAAGGTTACTCACAGTAACACAAAATAATATAACAAGTCATTGCACTGTAGGGCAAAATTAAGTTGTCTCAGGTACTTATCAAGCACAACGCCATGAATATGTATGGAGCAATGGAGGTATAGCTCCATTATTTCTTAACCTTGGAACCATAAGTTAGTAGTTGGCTTCACATCCTGGTTGCTTTATCTTTGGGAAAAGGGCTCCTGGTACCCATGGGATAAAGGCTATGTGTACCCCACATATGGTATGGACGCAACAGCAAAGAGAAAAGTTTGCACCTTCCGAGAATTAAATCCGTCTACCGGCCCATAGTTGTCTACTGACTAAGCAACCCGGATCATCATATTACAAAGGTATGTCAAATGTTTACAATACGGCACCATAACAAAATTTCACAAAAGGCAAACCTAAACTAGTTACATGTTTGAAGACATTACTAATAACCAAAAATGAATGAACAATCAACATGAACAAAAACCTATAAACCATTAGCGCCGAATGAAGTCAGCCACTTTTAACCAAAGTTACAGACTTGAAAATCGGGAACATGTATATCCCAACACTTGTACATTAGGCCTATTACATGACAATATGAATATAAAACTTTCAAATGCCCAATTCTGGGCTGTGATATCTATTACCACGAACGGAACTACTACCATGCAACATAAACCGAATGATTCAACTTAATCATATCCCGCAACATACACGTTAACTACAGACACAATGACGACACAGTAATGATCGCATGCACTTTTAATTTTAATTACTTACCACTATCTAAATTAATCTAATGTAACAAGGAATATCTCCCTTCCTTTACCAGCCCAAAATGGCGTCGTTAGTGAATACCAGTTTTGAACAGCGTCATGACGAACTTCAGTCACCAAAGAATACAACCACAAAGAACCAGACTTTGGCCGCTTTCACAACATTCATGAAAATCAATGTACTCGTACGCATTGCTACATTGTTAATAAGTTATCGTGGACCATTTAAAAAAAATACGTAATTGATTTTATTCGAGTAAATTTGGCAAGTACAATATCCCTGATTTCTTTAAAACATTTACAAAATTATAATAGACAAGCCTTGTGGTCCTGTCTTCCGGGTTGTTGCGTTGTGTAATCGCCGCCATGATATCTTTGGTTTAGGCTTTCCTAATATGAATATTGCAAAGTATTTAGCACAAAGGAAGAACTGGAAGTATATTGGCATGTTATTAAAATATGTGTGAGAGCAGGGAAAACGCTCTAGTACTTATGGGGTGCATTGGCAAGCAGAAATTATATGCAGGTTATCTATGATGTGAAATCTAACCAAAAAATCTTCAGCATTCTAGACACATTGCAATGAAATGATATCATTGGTTGACTCTTGATGGGTTATTTGTTTTTACTCTGTGCAAATCTTATCATCTTACATTACCTGACAACAAATCCTTACAGCTTGAAGCCAGCACATGGCATATTAAATGCTGGTAATTATGTCCTTCCTATACCTTTAAAAATGGGTCTCAGAAACATGTTTTTGTAGTTAATACGCTACAAAGTTCTCTTGATCGTTTTGTCAATAAAAAGTCAAGGTTCAATACTTAGTCCTCTGCTTATCTTCATACATATCATTGATTTATCCCTAACCATAAATTCTCAGTCTAAACCCTTATTTTTGCGGATGATACTCATATTATTATTTCACATATAGAATCTGGCTATTTTCAAATTTGCTACCTTGAACAAATGGATTGAAGTCAATAAACTCACATTACATTTTGACAAAACAAATTTAACGAAATTTTGTACTATCAACAAAAATTGTGTTAAACTAGATATATTTATTTAACGACGCTTTTTCGGTAGCTCAGACTATATCGCGTCGAATGAGAGGGTGATTATGAATTGGAAAGGATGTGGAAGGAAGCGGTCATGACTTAATTTAAGGCACTATCCCGGAATTTGCCTGGAGTGAATAAAAAAATCCAGTCATGATACCCGTTCTCCAGGCCGAGATTTTACCCCGGGACCTTTCGATTACGAAGCAGGAGATTTAACCACTCGATCATGACGTTCGGTAAGTAGGTGCAGGGTATGTGGATAAAAAGTTGAAGAAGTAGAAACAACTTAAATTGGAAAACATATGTTCAACACCTTATCCTAAACTAAGCCCAGCATGCTTTGCTATGAGGACTGTCACATCACTCATAAAAACTCATGAAAAATAAACTTTGAAATTAGTCTGCTTTGCTTGCTTCCAGTCAACCATGTCATCTGGGATTGTTTTCTGGGGAAACTCAACAGACAACAAAAAAGAATTTTACATTAAAAAGAAAATCATTAGAATAATGGCAGGCACTAAAAGGAAAGCCTCATGTAGCGAATTATTTAAGAAATTTAATATTCTTCCACTAGCCAGTGAATTCTTGCTCTCATTATCATCATTTGTAGTTACAACATAGAAACATTTCAAACTCAAATACCTACAACATAAGTAGAAGACCTATAACCTTCATGTGCCAAACATTCAAAAAATAGTTTACTATACTAAAATTAAGCTATTCAATATTATTCTTCGCATTATAAAAGTCTGAATCACGATATAAAGAAATTTAAGCCAGGGCTAAAACAGTAGCTCCTATCTCACTCCTACACCATAGAGAAATTTATGTGAACCAGAAATTCTCAGCTATTATAAATACAAGTAAGCAAGGGTGGTTATGCTTTCGTGTGTAATTATTTTTGCGGCAATACTGTAGTTGAATGTAAATTACTATCATAACTATGCAATTTATATTTTTATTAGAAAAAAGAATTGTATTTTTGCTGATATGTTCTACATCCTTGGCTTATGTCTACGAAGAATCTATGGAGTATAAATAAATTATATTCTATTCTATATAGCGCTCACTGGATGGGCGATCTTATCCATACTTGGACTTGATGAAATTTCAGTGGAACTTCAATAAAAATTTAACGTCTTTGACATCTGGTTAAGTTATAAATACGATATGTTAAGTAATCCCTGCTAGTAAAGGAGGTGATAGTAATTTATTCGTCGGGTGGTGGATGGATAAATTCAGACGAAGAGACATTTAGATAGATAGATGGACAGATAGAACATTGACGAGATGAATAGGTATAGAATCGCACCATAGAACCTAAGAAGCAGAGTGCAGGACAGACAGAGAACATTACATACAGAAAATGTAAATGCAATTACAATATAGTTGCAAAGCCTTTCCCAATAACAAATCCCTGGAATAAATCGCGTAGTTTCATAATTAGAATTGTTCATCAATTAAATAACCCGCAAAAACACACACACACACACACACACCCAAGTAACTGCTGTACAGAGACGGAAATTACGTGTTGTCGGCCATATTTGCTGGGAATTCAGCTGTGGTTTTTCTTGCTGAGTGACAAATGGACATAATAAATATATACCATATAATTTAAAAGGATTGACATTAGAGCAAGCAAAAATATTAAGCAGTAGAGTGTAATATTGTGTAACTAATTGCCTTGAATTTTAGACAAGGCAAGGATTTGGAATCGCATAATGAGCTTCCTATTGTAAGTTTTCAATTTCACTTGGTGTGTTTGTACGTTTTGATGGGAAAATGTATCCAAAATATAAAGGAACGCGAGTGCAGGAAGTAATGCCTTCCGCTAAGACCGACTGTCATCTGCAAAGAAATATGTAAATTCATGACGGATTCATATTTAATGAACGGTAGCGATGAAATGTTAAATCTTTCAGTCATTAACTCGCAATGCGATCGATTTTTACAGGTCGTAAATAATGACAGCCAACATCATTTCTGGAGCTCCCAGAGAGTAGATTATATTTTCAAAGTGTCGTTTATTTGGCACCTTAATGCATTTGCTGTCATTACTATAATGTATATTGAACTTCAGTAAACCCTATAGTAAAAATACATTGTTTTGAAAGTTTTTTAAAATTATTTTTAGAATGCCAGATGTAAATAAGAGTGGTTGTTTACTAGAACAGTAATATTTGAAGTGTGAAGTTACATGTGTTAATGTCATTACTACATAGTCTGTTATAGATGTGAAGGTGTACTGACAGTTGTCAGTTCCATTGTTTAAACCATGGAGTAGCTGTTACTTGAGGATCTGTGTTTAATGCTTGCCATAACTCAGTTATGGGTGGTTTCAACTTTTCTTTTTGCAGTATTTCTCTGTCACACTGAAAGCCAGTCATTCCATTACCCCAAGTAATTGTGCAGCTCATGACAGACTTAAAAAAATCATCTAATTTCTTCATAAAATCATGTTTGCTGTGATAAGATTGACTATGTTAAAAGCATTTGCTTTTAGTTCCAATCAGATTTTTCGCTTGTGTTTTAAATTTGTTGTAACATTGGCTTTTTTATAGTGGAAGCCGCTCTTCAAAAACATTCAAACCAAAAAAGAACATTCCTGAAGGAACACATCAGTATGACTTAATGAAACATGCGGCAGCTACACTGGGTTCTGGAAACCTCAGACTTGCTGTTATGTTACCTGAAGGAGAAGACTTAAATGAATGGGTTGCTGTGAACAGTAAATATGGCAGTTCATTGGATTGCACTGAACCTGGCCTTCTGTTCCCTTTGCATCCTGTCGTTAGACATATTGCTTCTTTCCTAATTGTCTGGGGTCCATTTAAGGAAAGTACTGAAAAAACTGATTATCAAGTTTAGGGCAGTGATGGCCAACCTGGGTAAAGTCATGCTTCCTGTGTACTATAATTTATGACTACATATAAATGAATAATATTCTATTTATTTGAAATCTCTGTACCCACTTAAAACTGACTTTTTTGCAGTCCACAGCTGTAAATAATAGTAACTAATGATCCCATTCTCTTAATATATGTATACATAAATATATACACACACACTTTCTTATAAGTATCATTCTGTTCCCTCCTCTCTAATTCCAACTATAAATTCTTGACTTTGTTCTCCCATTTACATATAATTTTAAATGAGTAGTCTGTCAGTAGTATAACTAAGTAAACTCAAAAGACTTCAGAATTTTATCATTTAGTTAATAGTTTATTATGGAATAAATATATAGAAAGAAAATGTGATATTACAATATATAATGTATATTTGGAAGAAGATTCAGGGGCAGACCATGCACATGATAGACCAAGTTAAGAGAGATGTATAAATAAGAGTAACCCACAAGCTCTAATTAATTGAAATAGTAATAGTAGTAGCAGCATGCAGTATATTCTAAGCCTCCAACTGCTGGCCATTTGGAATAGATAGAACAAAACTTAGGGTACAGGAAGTCTCAATGTTACTGACAGAAAATATATCAGTATTGGCTAAATATCTTATGAACATTATGATTTAATGTTTTTAACAATTTCTTTTCTTTTTAAAGTTGTGGTACACCAAGCTGTAGATATGTCTTCCCTACTCACTATTCCTTGCACAGCCAATCACCATCTTTGTACCTTGTTGCTTGTTCTGTACTGTATTCTTGACATTTCCTATTTTTAATCATAAACTATCTGCCCTCTATTTTGACTTGATCCACTGTTTGAGTGTTTTGTCTCATCACCATAACTCGAATTATTGCCTTTAAATTCATGAAAATTTATTTTTGTTTGTTATTTCTTGACATGACTTGAGGCTAACTTGATTTGTAATGTAGCAAGAATAATTCTCGGATTTAACGCGCAAAATGAAACATTTGGTTCAAAGTCACATCTGTGACAAACTTCAACTTTTTAAAATTCTTGTTCTCAGTTGGAATATTGCTTTGTTCCAGCTGTGGATTTTTTTAACCAAATAAACATGCTGTATGGCACCATCACTGAATTCTGCACAGAAGAAAGCTGTCCAATCATGTCTGCAGGGCCAAAATATGAATACCACTGGGCCGATGGCCTCACAGTCAAGAAGCCCATTAAATGTTCTGCGCCTAAGTACATTGACTACCTCATGACTTGGGTGCAAGATCAACTTGATGATGAGACACTCTTCCCTTCCAAAATAGGTAACAAAAAATCATGTAGTGTGATGTTCAGTTGGAGGCAAAGCAACTTGTAGTATGCAAGATCTGAGGTTTTCACAGCGGTGAGTATGAAGATTTTTGTCTTCTGGGTTGTTGCACCATGTAGTCTGGTCGATGTTTACCAATGTTTCAGAGGCAGTGTGACCTCTGAAATGTTGGACATCGACCAGACTACACAGCGCAACAACCCAGAATACAGAAATCTTCAACTTGTAGTATATATGTAAACTGTCTTTTGTATTTTGTTCCAGGTGTTCCTTTCCCCAAAAATTTCCTGTCAATAGCAAAAACTATCCTCAAGCGACTATTTCGAGTTTACGCTCACATCTACCACCAACATTTCTCCGAGGTGGTACAGTTAGGTGAAGAGGCACATCTCAACACTTCCTTTAAACATTTCATCTTCTTTGTTCAGGTATGAAATGAGAGCTAGACTAATTCACCAAGACAGTGATTCACAAAATATGCTGAAGAAAACAGTGGACTTCCATGGGTACATTTAACGGTTGATTTCATTATGAATGATAATATCAAATGTAATTCTCTGCTATAATTACACATCTTCATGTACACAGGTTGCTTAATTTAGAAGTTATGATACACAAGCATAAAGAGCAGGAATTTAGAATTCATTTTGATACATTTATAACATATATGATGTTGGAGAATGAGAAGACTTTCTTATATCTAACAACTAAGTGACTGGTGTTTTGTTTTTTAATTATGTTGGTACTCACTGACATGAGTAGTGTATTATTTCCAAGGTTGTAGTGAATTTTTACAGGCATCACTTTTGACTCTACATTGAACCAATTATTTGTTGAACTTCCTTAATTAATTTCTAGTGCAAGTTTCTTCAAGAATTACTTGGTTAAAATGTGTGCATACTGCATCATACATGTATGTATGAAGTTAGATTTTTGTAATACACATCCCAAAAAATAGAAGGAATATGAGTTCATGTATCATGAAAATCCAGCCTTCTAAGTGTTACTCTCAGTATTCAGAAAATTTTTATCAGAAGTACACTACAGAAATTCCCACTTGTCCTTCTCTTTGCCTTTTTATCTGTAGTTGGGGATGTATCAGTATTTTTTAAGGCTATAGACAAAGTCTCAGAAACACTGTCTTAAGATAACTGGGATTTCATTGTATATACATGAAACCAGCACTGTGATCGTATAATTAATAAATGGTTAACAACTTGCTTAGAAAAAGGTCTTATTGAAAAAGATTGTATTTTTTTATTGAAAGGATACATTTGGAATCTAAAGCTATAGAGAATTAATTCAGGGCATTTTAGAAATAGGCAAGTGGCTGACCAAAAGACTCAACTGGCAACACAAAGACAAGACTCAAGATTAAAATTGGCGCTATAAATTTGTTTTGGTTCTGGAATCTTTTTATTGTGAAACTGCAAGCTGCCAATAGTAGCATAGCTACCGGTAGATCCTTCCTTTCTGGAAAGGCTTCTGGATGTAGATCCACTGCAAGTGAGGATTCAAGGTGACAGTTCCTTATAAATGAAATGTGAAGTCTTTTAGAAGTTTGGCAGTTCACCTTCTGTGTATGGTGAAGAGGCTTCAGTACGTAGTCACTGTAATGCAAAGTTATTCCACTGAGAATGGGATGCTGAAAAAATGGATAATGTGGAGATAGCTGACATGCAGCTTTAATTGTTAAAAATTAAGTCAAGAGGAAATGTGAGAGTTACTGAAATCCATTTCCATTTCTTATTTTAGCTTAACCCACAGTATACTTTGAAAGGCCCACCACATGGCATTGGAATTACATTTACACAGCCAAATGAGTAAGTTATCTGAAAATGGACAGAGTACAACTTTGGTATAGTCCTTTGGCTTTGACCATGACCAGAATTCATGCTGGTACAGTTGTTCGGGGGCTTTAAATCTCCATGTTATAGGCCTGCCAGCTGGACTTAAGTTCCAGGGTTAATTGTATAGTAGTATACTAGTGACATGCATGGCCATCTGCATCTAATGGATGAAGATGGTGGTTAATAATATGTAGGAAATTAAATTAGCTAGAATAGCTCAGTTAATGGGCTGGATGATGTGTGATTTGATTTCTGAGTAGGGATTTTTCTATTTTAAAGTCCTGTGCTCACCCAGCGTCTTTCCAAATGTGTAATTTTTTATGTGCACATTCCCTAGAAGCCTTCATGGGAGGTGCTGACACACAGAAGCATACTTTATATAAATCACTTTTTTAACTCCCACAGATTTAGTGGTACACAAGGAGAATATTTCAAGCTTAACTTACTGTGAAAGAATTTTTTGTTGTTACAGGAATTCAATCTTATTGACCGAAGGGAATTAGCTCCTCTTCAAGAACTGATTGAAAAACTGACTGCTAAGGAGTGCCGATGAAAACCTTCCATTTATTTTGTACCCAAAGAACATCTTGCATTATTTAACAGATTTTGGTGCAAACTACTGTAGCTTTGTTGCACAATGTTTCTGTTAGTTATCTAAACAAATGAACAAGAGAGCTTTCCTATGAATGCCTTGAATAGTGGTATACTTACCTGGTATAAAATGTTTTCAAATCAGGCCTCTGGACCCCTGTGAGATAAAAGCACATTCTTCAGAGTTACAGTAGTAGCGAAGATCATTGTATTCTCCTGTGCTTAACCTTGTAGCAGTCTGTACAATGTACCACTATCAAAGACTGGAAGCAAAGTGAGTACCAAAAGCACTCCAAAATATATAATTTGATGAGGAATAAAGTTCTGATGCACCAAACTAGTTAGAACAATGAAAACACCACATGCATATTCACAAGATACCAGGTTCATAGAGAAGAAAAGGATGTTATTTTGATGTTTTAGCATTTTCCTCAGACTCTCCAGGTGAATACCAGGATCTTATCTTGAAATTGGTCATGTCCACTTCCACATCTCTGCCATCATTAGTATCAACCTTATCCATGTAAATGGAAAATAAAATTAACAAGATTCTCAGTTCACACTTCACACTTCACACTTCTGTAATGTGATGTTTGGTCATTCCTGTAACTGCAATTGGAATGGTATATTCTTGAGGAGGATATGATGATTGTAGTGATTAAGTCAGGGTGATACATCCCAAATTTCATCATTATGAAAGGGGGTATGACCAAGAACATGTTTGTCATCCTTAATAGTGTAAGCGTAAGCAGCCAGAGACCAAACTGCTGTAAACAGTGGCATTGCATCAAGAGGACCAGAATTTGGTTTTCTAATAATTCACCAAAACACCTATGAACTAAACAGTTCATACAAAAGTAAAAAGAACCACTTCCTTCCCATCATTTTTGTCATATGTAATAATTTAGTTCTAAATAACCTGTGAAGTTGTGTGTATAGTTTTACTGACCATCTTCAAAATCAACAAATGTAAATCTAAATTAAGTCAGGTTCAGCTACTAGAGTTATATTCACAGTTGAGCAGAGTATGGAAAATATGAAAATGTTTCATGTTCAGAGTAAATGTATTTATATTTTAATAGGGAATGGACTGAATAAAGAACAGATACCTACATTTATATCTGAATTCAAGGTTCAAGTGTATCTAAATTTGAATTCATAGGTGAATAGTGATTGATGAATTAAGCAGTTTTTTACAACAGTGGACTTAAGTTTTAAATTTAGAGTCAAATGGGTAGTAATGATATCACAGTCTGTTTAATTCTGCTCTCTGCTTCTCTTTGTGGTTAAATTATTTCATCAGAAAGTAAGGTGTTCAAATCTTGTATTGCACCAGGTAATCTACTTTATCTGAACCGCCAATTAAAATATATCACTAATACAAATTTAGGCACCAAATGTGCAGTGGTTCCCAGACATCTGCATACTCCTTGAAGAATCAGAACATGCGAAAGGAAAAGTGTGTACTGGTAATTTCTCTCTTATGTCTACTTCACTCCTTCCACTTCTCATCCATTTACTCCAGACTATCCCCATGCAGCTTATATAGTGTTTTGAAAACCATTGCCCATCTGAAAAGAAAAGGCAGCAACATAATTAAACATGTCAACTATGTATATGGTACAACTGTAAGAAATTATCTCATTGGTGCATGGTTTTTCTTGAAAGACATTATTTAACTGACCAGGAAATCACATGCTCTTATGGAACTTGATCACCCATTACCATATTCACATAAGCCCATTAGGATTTATTTTAAGCCAGTTAAATCCACATAATCAGTCATTATTATTTTAATATCATGCCATTTATGCCTTTAGTAACATCCTGTCATCTGTGTGTAAGTTTCTTAATTGGTCTGTCCTGAATTAAATATGAATTTCAAATATTTCTCTTTCACATTAAGTTCACCATTACATATTTTTACACTCTGAAATATTCTACCTACCCTCATAGAATTCTTAAATTGCAGTCTGGAAACCACAGTATAAAGAGGTACAGATAGTCATGTAATTTCTGCACATATTTTTCAAGTCACTTTCATGTGAGAAAATTCACCACTTACTAAAATGGATGAAAAAATGTAGAACGAAGAGTAATTACTGGCTTTCATTATCTAGGAACAGCACTTAAACTTCAATTGATCAAATGAATAAACTCATTTTGTGCACAGGGAAAATTAACAAAAGATCTCATAGTTTGTACAGCCATGTACAAAAAACTTCAAGGAATAGGAGGGGAGGGATACTCCCATGTTTTGTTAAATATGTTGGATCTCACTTAAATATTAATATTGTATAGATTTTGTGCTTTAAATATTATTTTTATGTAGTTCCAAGGTCTTTACAGAAATTTTGAAATGATAATGCACATGGAATTTGACAAAATTATATACTAGTTTATAGTATATTGAATTAGTTACTATCTTAAGGACGGAAGTATATCTTTACAGTGAAATGAATTTTTCAGGCTCTATCTTTGTTATCTAATGAAACAATGTCAACATTACAACGAGACAAATTTCACAGCTGCATTAAAAAATGTCTATATTTCATCTTTCACCTACAATAGTAAAAACTGACGCAACATTTTCTTTGTAGTTGAAGGAAATTGATGTAGCGATAACATTCAGTGTTTGGTGTATCACAGTTTTAGCATATCACTAACTCTTAAATAAGGTATTAGTCCTCTTTCAATGCTAAAACAAGATATCTCATTTAGAGAAATTATTCATGCTTGTTCTAAATGTATTTATTATTAAATACCCATGAAAAGAAACCTGTACTGTAATTTGAAATTACCACACAAAATAACTGGTTGTTACTGTTCAGCAATAGAGGCTTTACATTACCATGAAAACCCAAATAGAAGAGGTATAGTTTTTCTTAAAAGAATTCAGCATAGGTCAGGATAGTCAACATGTGGATTACAGTGTAAAAGAATAAAACTGGAAGTACCATCAGATGTTACATGATGAATGGGACAAGTGTAATTAGAGTAGAATTTTATTTTGATATATTGGCTTTGCACAGGTTGTAATGAATCATGCTTGCGCTCTTTTAGTTAATGTAAATAATAGAAGGGTACACCACATAAGGCAGCAGCTATTACATTGCAGTGTCTCCCACACTTTGTCTTTTGGCACGAAAATTATTGTGGAACTCCACAACAAAATTACAAGCCACAAGAATAAAAAATGCATGGAACATGACAGAAACAGAACAATGTGCTCTGCATTTTTTGATTCTGTGTATTTGCAAATCAGACAACTAGAAATGAAACAAGGAAAGTTCACATACTGTTTAAACAACAGTGGTTATATAGCACAGAATGAAGTAGAGAGAGTAAATAGGGTTTTTGGAAGACATAGTCATGCAGTAATTATTTATTATAATACCAGCATATCAGGAAAGGGTGAGAAGAACTATGATAAAATGCCTTATGACAACCATTGGATCAACCAAAATTTGAACATCCTGGCATTTTCTGAGTAACAGTCAGTGTGTTGAGCTAATAAGGCTTAGTAAAACTTGTACGTCTGTCATTTTGCTTTCCTGAAACTGAAAATATTTATCACCAAAGAAATGTCTTAAGATAGAACACTGATCAGGCAGTACAAATCTATGCTTTATACACTCTTGAAAAGTTGTGGCTTGAAAGGATTAGTCAAATTGTAAATGACTTGACCGTTACTTTTTAGATTTGTATTCATAACAAAATCTGCAGTCATGTGATTTTTTGTATTACTTACACAAACTGAAGAAAAAGTGATGTGCATTGTGTGATATGAACTGAATGTTGAGGCATCAAATTTCTTAATCTCATTAGATTCAAGTGTATATTGGAGTGTGAAGTCCCAATACTGTGCAGTTATTTTGCTTCAGATATAGTTAACAGGTTATCTTAAACTGTGGTGCCTACATTAGCCAATACAGTGAGTCCTTGCTGAATGTGTTTGACAGTTTCCATGTATATTTTATCACTCTTCATGATCTGTGTTTCCTGAATGCATTGAAGAAATTCCCTTGTATGCACTTCATGTTAACATCAGACTGAGTAGCCTCAAAGTGACCAACACACGATATCTTCTTTGAAGCCCACTTCTACTCCTTAAAGTTCTCTAGCAACTCCAACCATTTTTCACGTCTGTTGTGGTCAGTTGCCTTTCCCAGATATATTGTTGCTTGTAACCAATTTGTATGTTACTTATATAAAGCAAGCTACTTCTGTTTATAACTTCTTTTAAATTCCAAAACATTACTTTCTTGTAGACCCTTAAATTTTTTGAATGCAGTGCATACCAGGAATATAACCCGTGTTCAGCAAGGGTCAACTGTACTATCTTGGAAATCGAGAGCTTATTTATTTAATGACATTTCTTTTGTGTAAGGTGAAGTACTTGTACAAAATCTTTAATAGTTTTAGTTTCTTTGATATTTTTAATCCAGATGGAATTTAAATAAAATTATTGTTAGCGGAGCACGAGCATTTAACATACTTCTACGGCCTTAAAACTAATGTGATATTTCCTGAAATTGTTCCAGTACACAGCGGTTGTGTAGGAATTTAATACCTGTTTTCTAACAGAAAGATTTGCCAAAGTATATTGTGAATTACACAGTAATAACAGTAACAATAATAATAATAATAATTACAATGTACTGAAGTATTTTAAAATGCATGTTTATGTGAAAAAAGGTGTATGTAATTTATCAACACAAGCACAACTTTTTTTATCATAATTATTTATGTATGCTAGTAATGTAAACTTAAAAACCTGTATAAATATTTTAGTGGTATAAACACTGTGACTTTCAGTATTACATTTTGACTTTCCATCCTGATCCAACTCAATTAGCAATAAGGCGAGCATTTAGGAACAGTTGACTAGTACATCTATTTACCAGGAACATAGCTGTGAGATTAGTTTTTTTTATATTAATGGTGAGGATAATTTTTGAGCTTAGGAAATTATGTATTGGGAATGGAGAAAATTACAAAATAAACAGTATCATAATTTGTACTTATCAACATTCTTAACAAAATAAAATAAAGAAGACTGAGAATGGGTAGAACCCAAAGCATGCATGAAGAAAACAAGAAATACAACATATGTCCTGACTGGAAGTATAATTTAATATATATCTTTATTGGAAACCCTCAAGTGAAACAGTCACCTTGGGTGTAGTGAGAATAAAATAAACTAGGCAACCAATTCTAACACTATTTAACAGCAGTTTCACCTGTGTAGGTTATGAGATTGATATCACAAACAGGGAGTGTGTGAGGAGCTGGGAGGAGGCAGTCATGGTGTAGTTGAGATTATTATACTGGCATTTGTCTGGAATGTGCAGAAAGTTGTGAAGAAAACTTCAAGGAGGGATAAACAAAAATTCAGACATCCCAAAGAGAAGTCAAAAATGTTGCAGCTACATTAGACTACTTGCTATGTTAATATTAAAATTAATTCCACAGAAGTAGTGATGATGAACTGGATTGTGTTGGCACTGACAGAGTTCACTGGTGGGGTTATGTCGATGCAGAGATTAACATTTTGGTTCTATAACTAGCTTTAGTGATTATGAACTCCTTCAGGCAGACACTGCAGCAAATAGGAGGGAAGGATGATAAGGGGCAGGTGTGGATTTTTCATGATTAACAATCAAACAGGATCCATTATATGTAAGTGAAAGATAGCCACATTGCCAAGAAGTTGGTTTCTGCAGTTCCAACACTGGTAACATTTATTTTTCAAACACATTAACCTTTTGTGGTCATCCAAGGTTACTGTAAAATAGCTTTCCTTTAATGTAAAATTGATGATATAAAACAATAATGTATTTATCAAGCCCTTGTGTCTAACATTCATTATATTTTTTTATTATTTTATATTACTGAACTCTTTTAATTTTCACCAAATATCAGTCATTTAAAAGGTACAAAAAATACATAGCATTATTGTTTTTGATAAAGACATCTTGTGCAACATGCTATGTTTACAACTATTAACAGGCGGTGACATTTGTGAACATTATTCTTCTTTCCTCTACTAACATAACAGAATGATGCCTACCAATCAAATGCAGACTGTCACCATCCATTATCTGACACTCCCTGACATCTATGGGCCAAAACCAAAATACTATAGATCCCACTGAGTTCTTTGGCTCTGGCAATCTCCATATTGATATGGCACACCACAGACAGATAAGTGACATGGAGAGAATGAAATTCCATCCATATTACATGGGCTGACTGGTGTATAAATTTCTGACCTGTCCTGACACATTTCCAAATAAAAAGACCCAATGTTCCTCAATTCACCCACCTATTAAAATTGCAATCATCCCAGTGGGCCTTTCCCACTTACCTTCTAATTCTTGATTTCCTGTGGGACCTCTTGACTTTCCTACTTTTTAATGTGTTTATTTTAAAAGCCTATTAATGTCTGAATTATTCTGAAATGTTCTGGGGGCTTTTAGCCTTTGATACACAATTTTTCCTGTGGTTAGCAATACCTAATAAGATACAGAATATTTTCTGTAATTTTTAATCAAATATGGGGGAAGGGGTTCTTATATTTCTATATTAGAATATGCAAAAAATAAATATATTGAAAACAAATGAATCCACATATCTGACCTCATCTGGTGGCTTGTGCTGTATAATTTATATAAGGAAGACCATGCCATCAGCAACCATAATTTGGTTTGCATCTGTCATCTGCATTACTGCTGCTGACACTTCAATCTGGCTGAATGACTCACCACTCTGTTCTGAATTTGCAAATTCCACGACTCGTTCCAGCGTGAGAGACTGTGCCCGCTCTTCACGAAAAACCTTCACTAAGCTGGCCTTGAAGGATTTGAACCTGTGGGACAGTCATAATGTCAGTGCACTTCAGAAAACTGTCTTGGGCAATTACAGTGTACTTGTTCAAGTTATAAACATTTTATTAATCCTCTTAACAAAAGTTTTTCTAGTTTTACTTGCTTTCCTGTGGTGCAGATTTTATTATATAGACACTCCTCATATTTACATAGCTGTACCTATGTCTGAGGTCAGTGACAAGACTAGTGGAAAAATGCATGGACTTCAGCTTGTTTTTATAAACAGGCCACAAGAACTCATTTAAAATTCATTTTTATATATTCTACACATAATACTATGGCACATGAAGTACAATTCATACACACAAGTCGACTTCCCTGCCAATTTAAAAAATGTGATTTACCTGTCATCAGCGATGACAGCTGGTGTCGCTGGTTCTGCAGATGGCCCTGCAACTGCGTCATCATGACCAGATCTGTCAGTCTCCATTTCAGTGGCAGATGTGGGTTTTGATACAGACTTTGTAGAACTTCGTGTCTTGCGCCTCTCAGTCCCCTCTTCTGCTTCCTCTTCAGAATCCCAGTCATAAGGATCGTAACTATCATCACCTGGTGTCCTTTTTGACTGTAGAACAATAATGAAACCTCATTCCGATTTTACTTGCCTCTTCAAATGATTATTATCCTTTTCCTCATTTCTCTTTGGTGGACTTCACAATGGCACAGTACACTGTACTTAACAATTTCTCATTTTAAACTGCTTATTACCATATTTATCTAAATATGAGAATAATTATAGTCTCATACAAGAAATGGGCTATGATAAGAATTCTGCACGATCTTTCATTTCTTCCAACTGCTTAAACTAGCTTGCATGTGATAAAAAGTGTTTTTTATGGATGTCAAGGCTCTACAATTGCAAAATTAATCTTGACTTTCATGCATAGCCTGAAAACTAGCTTCCTGTTAACCAAATAAAATTTTAAAGTACCTTATCTCTTCTAGATTTCTTTCTCTGGTGTCCTTCAGTTTCACTCTCATCTTCTGACATTTCATTTGTTTCTCCATCACCACGACGCCGCTTTCTCTCTTTTTCTAACACCTGAACAAATTACAGAAATACTATATTTTATCTTGAAATATATTACAAAATGCTTATGAGTCTTGTCATTATTCACTTTGCCACAAAGAAGCAGTTCTGTTACATTAATACACTTGGCACAAAAAAATAATAAGACATGCATGCACCCTGTCATCTATTAAGAGAGTATTTTCTATGGACACTCCATTCCAGAGACTAGCTGTCTGATCACAATGTCAAAAACAATTTTATATTAAATGAGAATTACCCTTTTGAAAATAGCATACTGCACTAGTTCAATAGCAGTTTGGGCATCTTCAATATCAACAGTGCGGGACAATCTGGCTTTTGCATGTGCTGTTGCCAGCCGAATAAGTGTCTCCAAGGTTCGAGCTGTCACAGGTTGCGTCTGTAATTGGCAATCAGTTTTTATATACATATACACTAGTTGATACTTTGTTTAATAATTTCTCTTTGTAAGCTCAGTTTCACAGCACTATATAAAAAAGATGCAATGAAATGAGACCCATGTACATTTGGTACAACACAACACATGATGAACATTATTTGCTATAATCAATGGGGAACATTTATGTAGTATACTATACTGGACTGGTAAAATTCAGGCTAGCAAACCCATTCATAGGCTATACATGTCCATCTCCACAGCAGTGCCTTTCTTACTGAGGAAAACAAATGGAAAGGTCCACAAGTCACAATGACCAATTCACAGCAAAGTTTCCTTCATAGCTAATGTTTGCATTGTATTAAAAAATTCAACATCAAGAGTTGATAGAAACTTAACAATACTTCTACATGTCTGCATGTGCTAACTACAAAATTATTACAGGTTCATATAAAAACAGCAGATTGTGACATTCTTAAAAACACAGAACAGCAAAAACACAAACCCATCTGGACAATGTGATGTTTTCTTTGAGAATATAAATGTTTTCAGCTGAGAAAAGATTCGTATTGGTGTTTTAAAATGTTTCCAAAAAGATGCTGACATTTACTGCTGTAAGTATATCTCTGATATGTGCAACAGGAGGCAATTGAAATTTTTTAATCCCAACAACCAGCTACGCTGTAACACGGAAAGATGCTTCAACCACAGAAACAGAGATGTGTGTTATGACCATGACCTCAGAAAACACAACTCAAAATACCAACTGATTGAAAATCAAGAGTTGCACCACCAGCTTCTTCTGAAAACAAATGGGTTATTGTTCCTAGAGCTAACTACATTTAGATTCTTTTATCCATTAAGATCACACCCTTGCACTGCAATTTGCATGAATCTCATCCAGCAAATTTATGCATACCCTGGCTATGTCAGTGTCCATCGTGTCTTGTGAACGAAGTCGTGAATATTCTTCAGCAATGGCTTCAGATGCTTCTTCAGTTAAAGTTGGTTTCATACACTTTGCAATGTGGATATACTTCTTCATGAACATTACACTGACAATCTTGTCCCTGTTAAAAAACAAAAACAAACATATACACCACAGATCTGTTTATAAGAAATACTTTTCAACGTGGTATTTGACTGGATGAAGAGAATGTATCATCAGAATCAGAAGAAGGTCTTGAAGTCTGGGATTAAGTCTGAAAATATCAATTATTCACAGTTAACCAAGTAGCAGATAAAGACACACCTATATACAAGGATATATTAATAGTAATGAGTCACAAATCATTAAACAGTTTGGACAGGATAGAACACCTAGCAATTTTTCTTTATATACAGTGAAACCTCGATGCATCGTTTTTGGCGGGGGTGGGAAATAAAAACGATGAATACGGGAAAACGATAGTTGCGGGAAAGCATTAATTTTTTAAAAAAAACTGAATGTTTCTCTTTCAAAGTTACTTCTTTTTACCAAAAAAGCCTTTAATGGACAACTGGTTTGTCGAAACTTACGTTTTTGGCCAAACAGAGCCCTTTCCACGTTCAAAATGTTTTCCTGGTCACGTATGTGCATAAAAGAACGACTTCACTTTTGCCAATGCGCTTTGGCAAAACTCGGCACAGCTTCGGGCTCGCAATAACAGGAAGAATGGAAATACTATTACTGCCGATCTCAACAAAACATAGCTGTAGAAGACACTGAACCACTGGAAACGAGATGAACCAGAAGAATGAAAAGTGTCGCCAGCCTTTCCTTTGTACTTGTAATAAAAGCATTTGTGAAGAAATTCACACTGCACATGCCATCTGGCATCGCTGGAACGAAATATGAGTGCACCCTAATTAAAATCGTAAAATTTCTGACAATGAGCACCGCCATTCACTCCAATATCACCCCTGCACCGCTGACCCTCATTCCAAAAGAATGTGCTGGTTGGGCGACATAACAGGTTACCGCTACTGTGTATTCCAAAAACATTGTGCGTCTTTCGGTATTAATTTATCTCAAAACCCAGCATTTTAATTTCTCAGAAACGATCATTGCGGGAAAATTGTGGGCCGGGACTAAGATTTTTGAACGATCGATGCGATAAAACGATAGTTCGAGGGACGATAGAAGCGGGAAAATGTAACATTATTTTATATGGTATGTATCCGGGACCGAACAAAACGGACGATGCATCCGGGAAAACGATAGTTTGGGGAACGATGGATAGAGGTTTCACTGTAGTATAAACCACCAAGACAGGTTGCAATTTGGTAATTAATATAACCTTCTAGGTTTGATGTAAAATGTTTCAATATTATTATATTCATAGAGAAAACTGCAAAATACCATCAATAAACAATGCAGTGCATGTTATGGCTACCATCCAGCAATGTAACGGCCAGTGTAATCAATAAAAATATCCTGATATGCAAGTTGTCACAACCTCAACTAGACAAGCCACATTACCATGTGATCTAATTACACACTATGTATATCAGATGTTTGTTATCTGGTTCACCCTAACACATATGAAGCACAAATTCCCAGTCTGTGTTAGTGAGATAAATATGCCATTTTAATACTACAGAACACACAATCTTAATAAAAATTTCAATATAAATATTATGAAATGAATTAATTATTTTCTGCCTTTTTCTGGGGGCAATTTTATCTTTCCAAATGTTTAAGTGCCTAAAATAAGTATTCAATTAACTCCCCCCTCCCAATATTGTGAATTCCCATAACAACACAATTTTACTGTTTTTACTTGCGAGTTCGTGTGCCGCCATGAAGAAGAGCATCATATTTTTCATAAACAGGCGTATTCAGATTGTCTCCCTCAGCCAAATCTGGATTCTGAGTGCTCAACATTTCTACAGATGAGCCCATGGGAAGGGTTTCACCATCTTGTTCTCTGGGATTTCTGAAAAATAAATATACAATGACTTAACAAAGTTTTGAAATAAACATGACTATGGACATTATCCATCACCTTAGTTCTTCTCAAACACAATGCTTCAGAAACGGGATGTTTCTGTAACAAGGTGAAATGTGAGGGGAAGACTCCTACTTAGAATGAGCCAGTCCACTGCCCCTTACCTTGTTCTAGGGGGCACAACCACACAGGAATCTTTCCTCCCCTTTTACTTTGAAATAAGCCCAGTTTCTGAATCACAGTTTGAGAAGAACCAAGATGATGGATAATGTCCATAATAAGTAATGTTTATTGCAATGCACTTCTGTCAAAAACATTCAGATTTAGCTTAAAGTTCTGAAATACTAATGGACAGTGTTTTACAATGGTTATCTGCAATGTATCCCCAGGCTTATGGGAAAGATGTGAAACTAACAATGGAAATAAAAATGTCCGCTGTTAGTCAATATTACCAATTCCACATTTATTATGTAAAATAACAACAAAAGCATGCTTTGACAATAAGCAGATACAGTTATTACAAATATATAGACTACTAATTCCATGGTGAAAGGTTTGCCTTGAAATTGATAATGACTACTTTTATGGAACTGAAAGGTTCATCACTATATTCATAAAAATCTTCCACTAGACCTCATCCAAAGCCAACTGAATCTAGTCCACATCTTCACACATTCTTTCTTTAAGACCTTTTCAACATTACTTTGTCTTTTACGCTCAGGTATTCCAAGCTTTCCCTTTCCTTCAGGTTGCCTGACAAATTTTGTATATATTTCTCTCATCTTTTCCAAGTATACTACTTGTCCCATTTTACAAATCTTGAATTAAACATTCTAACAATTTTTTTGTAACTAGAAGAATATTATTAACATCCCCATTATTAATTTTTTGCATCCTCCTGGCATGTCCTCCCTCAAAGTCAAACTAGTCTCCATAGTATTTTGTTCTCAGCCACCCTCAATTTATGTTCTTCCATCAAAGAGAATGACCAATTTTTTGCACCTGAATGAACATCTGGTAAAATTATAACCTTCAGTTTCTCATACTGGTTGGGAATGTAGGCGTGAGTAATAGTATGCACTTCTCAAATTTAATATAAAATATGGAATAATAAATGGCAACTTATATCTTAATTGCATCCTGCTTGTGTTCCTCAATACAATACTTTTATTTTCCGTCGTTTCACAAGCTTATTGTTAAAATTACATAAAATTTCACATAAAATTGTTACATTTTTAAAATTGACGACATGTTTCGATATACAATTCTATCATCGTCAGGTCTATCAAAATTAAAATTAAAATCTGGTGTATCTGTTGCTCTGCTTATATTGATTTTACCCGTTTTTGATTTTATTACATCTCCAGGCTTCTTCCATTTAATTTTGGAGACTGCGCCGATATAGGCACCCAGGCGCAGTCTCCAAAATTAAATGGAAGAAGCCTGGAGATGTAATAAAATCAAAAACGGGTAAAAACAAAATCAATATAAGCAGAGCAACAGATACACCAGATTTTAATTTTAATTTTGATAGACCTGACGATGATAGAATTGTATATCGAAACATGTCGTCAATTTTAAAAATGTAACAACTTTATGTGATTATGGCAAGTTTTTTATTCGGAACACTGGTTTTAGTCTCACCTGTATCTATGCATCCGTACAACATGGTCCGAAATCATGCGATCATATTCCCCATCAACCAAATCCAACATCACAAACAGCAAGTCAAAACGGGATAGCAAGGAATCTTGCAGACCAATATTCTCCATTGGAGTTTTGTACTGATCATACTGAAAGACACCACAAAACTGATGAACATGTGACCATATGAAATGAACTAAAAATGTCATACTAATCTACACACAAATAAAGTTGTCCCTATACCTAAGCATTATGCTATGAAGGTTTCTTGATGCATTCAATATAACAGAGGTAAATAATCAGCCACATGCTCCAGCCACTTTAACCCAGTACCTACTGGATAAGAGTCTGGGTAGGTTCTAGACAGTGATCTGAGGACTTAAATCCCTGCCCTTGCTAGGAACTGAATCCTATAGGCAGTCACTTAAGGATTGAGCTGCCTGTAAGCAGAATTTCCATATACTGTTTTGAAATTTAAAGACCTTATCCCTATTTAGAGTTCAATTTCTAAGGTCTCAAACCAAATCACCTTAGCTTTCCTCAGAAGAAGTAAAGTGAATGACAAAATAAGAATAAAAAATAATAAACATTCAGTTTTATAAATGAAAATTCATTCTAAACTTAACTCCATGTTTAAAGCCATGGAAACTAGTTTCAGTGCTACAAAAATATGTTTTATGAATATTTCAGTTAAGAAATGCAGAGTTCTTTGCTACACATTTATGGACAATCAATAAAATATAAATTCAGACCACACAACTTAAATATAAGACACAGCAAATAAATTTCAACAGACTATCAAAGATTCTCATTAGTCTTATAATTAAAATAATAAGATGGGAATCAATATGGAAATTAGAAGACATAAATATAAATAGTTGTGGTTCTAAATGTATAGCAATAGTTTGTTCAGTACTGTCACAAAAGTATATTCTTTAGATAAAGAAGGAAGTATGAAATTTTATAGACTGATTTTGTGTTCAGGTAAGGAAAGGTACTCACTCTGTGGACTTGTCAGGTAAAGCTGAATGTAGTCTAGTGACAACAACTAGCATTCCCTCAAGTAGAGAACATCAGCCTCAAAAATGGTAGTCTTCTTGAACCAAACAACGGGTAATGCACAATGAAAATTCTCCCACAGCAAATTAATTATTGCCCCACTTAATGGTACCTGCACCTTGTCGTGGTGGTGGGGCTTGAGTACCTCAGTGACCTCATAGCTACTGGTAGGGCCTCCCTAGCCAGATTGGTCGAGGGGGAGAGGTCAGACTAAGACAAGTACCCTGGTCCTCCAGGTTGGAGGTTGGTCGCAAGGCTAACAACCTTGCACCATAAAAAGGAAGATGTTTCAAAACCTCAATCAAAGCCTCGGACAGACGGACCTAACAGAGGACCGAATGGAAGAGGAGAATTGAGGAGGCCATGGACCGAATACGGAAAGGAGAAAAGAAGAAGAAATGAATTATTGTGTCCACTGTTGTGGAACTTCGTGTAATCTGATATACAAATCTCTGACTTCATTTCTTTTTAACTAAAATATTTTATTAGTTGTTCATATATACTTTATATTTCATGCTATTTTATTTGTACTTCAATGGATGTTGAATCATAGGATTAGTGAATACTGAATTGGAAAGAATGTGGAAAGATATGGTCATGGCCTAATTTAAGGTACTATCAGAGTGACTGAGGAATAACACAAAAAATATTAGTCAAGAAACCTGGTTCCAAGCCTGAATGTCATTTACTGTACCATATCTCATGTGATAGCAGTAATGGGGCAACTTACTCTACCATACACCGGGTTCGCAGCAGCTAGCACAGAGCATCTGGCATTCAAATGAGCGTGGATGCCAGCCTTAGCTATTGTAACTCTTCCTTGTTCCATCACTTCATGAATAGCAGTTCTGTCCATGTCCGACATTTTGTCAAATTCATCAATGCAAACGACACCTCTGTCAGCCAGAACCATGGCACCAGCTTCAAGCCTGAAAATAAACAAGGTATTTCACTTTTATATGACGTGGAGGAGGATGTGAGGATGATGGGAGTGAGAAGAATTGTGAATGATAGGACAGAATGGAGAAAACTCGTCGAACAAGCTAAGACCCACATAGGGTTATAACGCTACAAGAAGAAGAAGAAAAAGATTTCACTTTTATACAGTCCTAAGATTAATCTAATATGACTTGCACAAGTCACAAAATTCCTTATTAATGCAAGTTTCCCATTTACTTAGATACAAATATTTTCTTGAACATCTTGTTTCCAAATACATGTAATTTTCAATCTACCCTGTCAGATTTAGTGAGAAATGAAATGCTGCTGGCTATGCCAGCCTGCAAAATCTGTGGAACAAAAGGCAAGGAGTGAAGTTGTGATCAGGGCTCCAGAAACACAAACTACAAAGAAAAGTGGTGAGTATAAAAATTACTGCCTGAAGCACTCTATGAGAGTATTGGCAGGTAGATTTAAGTTATAAGTCTAGAACCCTATTTGTGATTGAACTTTTGCAATAATGCACCTGTAGTTATACTGGCATTTCTTCTGAAATGTAGAACATACCTCCTCTCACCAGTTTCTTGATCAGTGGTCACTGCAGCTGTAAGACCAACACCTGAGGACCCACGACCAGTAGTGGGAATGGCTCGTGGAGCAGTGCATAGCACATACCGTAGCAATTGTGACTTTGCAACACTTGGGTCCCCTATCAGAAGAACATTGATATCCCTGGAAGTGAAGTAAAGTAAATATGAACTATACATGGTGATGTACCATTTAAATCCATTGAATTCTGATACAATTAGACCACAAAATTTAACCCTTTTCAAAACAGTAGTAAGTGCTTTACCAATCAGTAACTCTGCACTTAGCCAACAAGGATTATTTATGGGTTTTATTTGATTCTCAGAATTAACAGTGATAATTTCCCATCACCACTAGGGCTATGATCAACTGATGATGGAGGCAGCAAGCACCTCTAAAACATCGGTACACTTCTACCAGACTACACAGCACATATCTCAGAAGACAGTAATCAACAGTTTTGTAACTGATATATACTCTATAGCATAAGGCTTGGAAGTAGAACTCCCACTTACCCTCGAAGCCTTGTTCCGTTAGGTAGCACTTTCTCCACTCCACCCAGCAACATGCATAGGATGGCCTTCTTTATGTAATCATGTCCGTGAATCGAAGGAGCCAGAGATTTACTAAGCAACTCAAAGATGTCGACGTTCTTGTTACGGGCTAATTTTTTGCACTTCTGGATGTCCTCTCGAGTGATCAGCAGTGTTGACTCCTTGCTGAGTTGCGATATGTTGTTGGCAATTAAAATTGTTCTGCAGAAACAAACGAAATGCACCAAGAACTTCAGTGTAGAATTGCATACAAACCAACAAACTATTGTAGATTCCAAAAAAAAAATAGGAAGTTTCTTGACAAGCTGAACCACCATCAGCCACTAAATTAAGACCTTGCAACACAAATCACTCGATCTAACCAAAACTGCCAGTATACCTGAATGTTCCTGAAGTAAAGCTACCCTGTTTGCCTGGTAAACACCTGTAGTTACCCACAATCTGCACTCGGTCCCCTGGTTTACACTTGTCCACCAAATCATTATCACATATCACATCGACTGAGCGCGGCAACTGACCTATAGTCACAAACAGAATATCTGTTAATAACAAGAAATAACAAGCTTGTACCAGAATACACACAAAATCCTGACCAAGTTGAATCGGTTCAACAGACAGATGGACAAACAGATATGACCAACCCACAATGGATTCTTGCTACGCACTTTGTGCAAAAAGCATAATAAAGTAACAGGCTATTTTCATGAAGAGGTGACAATATGCTTTATCAAACATGAAAGTTGTGCCTAAGCATTATGATATGGAGGCATTTAAAAGGGCATGAAAGTAATGTTCTGTGCTCTGCTTTACCCTATGGAAAGAATTCCCAGTTCCCATCGCACAGGCGGCTGGGTGGAATTGGCATTTGTTTATTGCTAAAATACATAGGTTAAAACTTTTCCAAGTTCTCTGACCTTGTTTTCTGAAACAAAAGCTGTTTTGCTAAATAAAGTGATTTCCAGAAAAGTAACGCAAGAACTGACTATAACATTTTCAATCAAGCAAATATCTAACTTAATTACCTGCAGGTGCCTTTTCAGGCATTTCTTGTATAGAAATTGTCTGATGATCTTTGTACACTGACAACCCGTATTCAGTCTCAAGGTTATTGCCATCTTCATCCTGAAATTAATACTCACTCTTAATTATATACTACCTAACTAATTTAATATTTGGTTATCATTTTGTAGTACTAATGAGTTTAATTTTTATGTGCTGCTTTCTTAGACTTTTTCTAGCGCTGTAAATAATGTTACTTTGGAAGCAGCTGCATGACTGACTACATCAAACTTTTGAACATAATACCTCAGAATCTTACATTAACCTTCCCCAGCCATGTACTGCACAGTATAGTGCCAAAGTGTTGACTCCAAAGTCGCAGTCAGGCCAACAGCTGGGTAATACAGGGGTTTAAATCCCAATTTCTAAATGACAAAGGCTAAATGGCAATCATGTTGCTCCCACCTCAAAAGATTTCATGTCCACTATTTTGGTACAGAACAGAATTAAGAAGTGTGAAAGAGAGAATAAATCTAAATTTCATAATGGATTGACTTTTAAGCTACTTAATGCTGTTTCAACTACACATTATACAACATCAAATAAAATGGGAAAGATTTGGAAAGTGGTGTTTGTGGCCAATTTCAAGAAATGCTCAGGCATTCGTAGACTAAGTGTAACCTCAGTCAAGATAGCTAGTTGATTCTAGTTTGCTCAGTATACTTTCAAACAAAACAGCCAGTTGATTCTGGTATGTTCAACAACACTTCTTTGAGTGTAAAGATTCAAACCTGGGACCCCCTGAATATGAAGCACGAATGCTAACCACTGCGCCACAGATAAAGTTCAGTACAGCCATTAGCAAAATTGAGATTTGAAATGGTACTGCAGTACTGCACATCTTAATTACTGCTAAACCAACCTGCTGAGCATTGATTCTCAAAGATTTCTCAATTTATTCATTTTTTACTACATGGAACAAGAACAGATGAGGACTTTATAAACATACCTTTGTTGGATAGACAGAACTGGAAGGAAATGCACTGAACGATGTCAAGTCAGTGTACCGACGCTCTAGCACCTTCTTTGTTGCAGGACAATAGTGGACACTGCGTACTACTTTAGGGCGAACAAGGGAACCTGTAAGTTAAATGTTAATTACAATGTAATTAGCCACAATGGGTTGTTCCACACAGTAATACAAAAAAATCTTGATAGAGTGGAGTTCATGAAATTACCAAAAACCAAACAGCATCTTAAACAGATGTTCAGTATCATATGAAAAATATCAAAGAAGGAAAACTCTCTGGTCACAGTGATCAAAATTCCTCATATACTATGCATCTATCTAAATTACACGACCATGCTAATGAAATTTCATATGATCAAGCACCATACCATAAAGACAAATAGAAAAGTTATTGCCTCCAAATGTTCATGCTCCAACACATGGCTTAGGCAACATAAATGACTTACATCGGTTGATTTGCCTGACCATATTTGGGTCCTGTAACATTTTAATTTTCAATCCTCACTTAGGCAGGTTCTAGTATTCAAATTTAAGCCATCCTTTGTGACTTCACAGTCTTTATCCAGCTACTAGCACCTTAAGCAGTCTGTTAATATATGATGGCAGTATTTTCTGTTTCCAATTCCACACCAATGCAGAATTTAATTTTAGTTCCCAGAATCCCATGCAAAGTCAACTTAATTTAACAGTTGATTCACAATAGATGTTCAGTATTTTTAAAATTAATTACTATAAAATTGGATATTTTCAATGTTTCTGATTTACTAGGTTTTCATGGATCTGTACTCTATTGCATCCTCAATTCTCATACAATGAGCATGTCTTGACATCTTTCACTGAATGGTACATTCACACTTGCACAAGACTTACGTACCATAGTGCAGGAATGTCTTGTTCAAGAGCTGGGCACATAGCCATTTAAAGTAACATGATTTATCAAATTTTTCATGTTGCTACATGCATTAAAAATGTGTAGTAACAAACTGCAGATACATCCAACAGGCTTAACTACCATGTAATACAAGCCACTTACATTTGGTTACGATTCCTTCAACACAAACAAGATTTCCAAGAAACTTGGACATCAGAGTACGGGGTGTTACATGTTTGTTGCCAAAACTCCCTTCAAAAGCTACAAACAGCTCCTCAGTGTCTTTAGCATACGTAGGATCCAAACTACCTACATACTCTTTCAGTGCTCGCTGGAACGCCAGTTGTTCTTCAAAAGCATTGTTCAGCAAGCTGAAGCATAAATAAAACATGCCGATTCTTAGGTTATTCAATAACTCTGTTTCATCTACATAATGTGCATCAAATGTGACAAAAAGATGATCATGAATGAAGAGTAGAGAAGAATTTTAAAGGAGGGAAACATGGTCTGATTGAAGGCATTATTCTAGAATTTACCTGGAGGGACTGAGAAGAAACATGACTTCACCTCATACATGCAAGTCAGTCATGTCAGTGTTGAGCCTTTATAAAATTATGTGCCTACTAATGACCATTCAATGGATTCGGTTGCTTTATAATGAAATTCAATGATGATATTTTGTATTTGTGATACTGAACTTTGTGGTTATAGCACCATATTCTATTCAATAACCCAATGCCTGGCTTAAAAGAGTCAGAAATGTTGTGAATGAGGGACACATCCACTGTTCCACATTCACACTACCAGTGAATGTTAATGACTGCCATTATTTTAGAACAATGGAATCTGTAAATTTAACGCAATGCTCATCAGGTCTATCAAAGTTTCACACATAATGTTAAAATCAAGCATAAGTACCTCAACCAGAGGTACTAAATCCTCATTTCGCTATGATAAGTATCAGATTCCAGTGGAACAATGACACAAATTTTATACAGAGAGAAAATATGTACTTTTAAAATTTTGCAATAAAGACAGAAGACTCACTTATCACAAAACACTATTTAAAACAACAACCAAACCTTGTGGCTCTCACAAGATTCTTGCGACGTAAATCATTTATGTTGACCAGCAGTCTCTTGCTTTTATCTGCCACCAAGTCCTTCACAAGTTGAGAGTAAGTACCTTCATTTTCCTGTAATACAGAAAACAGTACATTTCCTCTGACATAGGAGCCTACTCCTCCCTACCTCCAAACCAGTCATTCTCAAACTATTCCTAAAATGTCAAATAAAATGTGAACTCCTTAGCAAATTACGGGGACCAAGCAAAGTACAATACTTATTACTACTTACTTATAAAGAACCTTTGTTATTCGTTTCGGGAAAATACTATTAAAAATGGTGGGCCAGAAATTTGTTCTGGCCACTAAGCTGCTTTAAAATGCAAGGACTTGCCAAGCACTGCGAAATATCAGTTACTTATCACTATAATCTCAAAATTCACTCAAACCGTAGTTTCATGACAAAAATTCCATTAGACAAACTTCTCGGTACCTCATCATCTAAGAAATCCAAATATTCGCGCTGTAAATCCCTTAAACGCTGATCAATTTCCACTTCACCCATTCTTACAACACAGTGTAGTATAAATATACAATAATACGCTAAATTATTGCGATAACTGCAAAAAATATATGTTCGTTTCTATAGAACATTGGCACAATACATAAATGGCGCGAAACTAATGCAAGTGTGACAACGTCACATACAGGATAACCAACTACAAATATATTCCAATAGTTCAAAGTTGTCTCATTGGATGTCAGAATAACATGTTACTGGTGCTGCCATCTAGACACGTGTTCATTAAATTATGTCAGGATGCTTTCAACTTCCGGTAGAGGCGTTGGAATTATGCTAAACCCTCCGTTCTTCTCCCAGGACGTAACTCTCGTCGTGTGGAGCGCGGTTCAGTTGCAAAGAAAGTTTTGTAGTAGCACCGCGTAATGTGTGTATGGTATCAATTCTTACTACAGGCGCCATCATCATTGTTCAATTAACCTGTTGACATAACATAATGACGAACTTAAAAATTTATACTCCTCTCCCAATATTGTCAGGGTGATTAAGTCGAGAAGAATGAGATGGGCGGGGCATGTAGCGCGCATGGATGGGACAAGAGGTGTGCACCGGGTATTGGTTGGGAAGCCTGAGGGGAAGAGACCGCTGGGGAGACCTAGACGTAGATGGGAGGATAATGTCAGGCGGGATCTATGGGAGATAGGAGATGAAGGAGACTGGATTTTGTTGGCCCAGGACAGGGTCCAGTGGAGGGCTTTGGTTAATTCGGTGATGAACCTTCGGGTTCAACAATTTCCTTTGTATTTGTAAAAGAAGTTAATCTTATGCTGAAATGCAGTATACAAGACCTCGTGACTCTTAAACTTGTCCAAATTGTTTCCATTGCGGTGAACATTTAGGAAGGCAAAAAAAAGTTAATTTAGGCTTCAAACAAGAGCCTGTAACTGAAAAATATAAATGAAAAGAAGCATGAATGCAATACATCTAATTATATTAAAGCGCACAACTTTTTGATATATTTCACATTTTCCCTCGTAAACGTTCAAGAACCTGTGGGTCTATTAAGCGTAGATGTGAGCATAATGCAAATTCTGATTTTAGAAAAATGTGTTGTGAGCTGACATGGTTGAGCAGACGAAAGGAATTTGTGAACACGGTGACGAAACTTCTGGCTATATAACACCAGAGAATTATACTGGGTCCAGCATCACAGGAAAATTCATATTTTTCTATTTCTGCAGGCCATAATGTCTCTGAGCAAGGAAATCTGATGAATATAACAGACTGCATCCAGACTGCGAGTCAATAACACAGAGTCGTGTTAGCAGACCTGTTGCAAAGTTTAAGGAAACCGGATCCATAGAAGATAAACCACGCAGTGGACCTTCAAGGAGATCCACTGATGAAAATTAGGAGTGTTGAACATTGGCGGCAGCACATTATTGAGGGATGTAACTCAATTACCATGTGTTTGCTGACTGGTTATCACGTCTAAATTTGTTTACTGAGAACAAAGGTGGACATATTGAGCAAGTTCTGCGAATAAAAGCTTTTATTTTGCATTTTTAAAGTATTTTTCCTATGATGCTGGACTTATGGGACAGCCTGTACTTCAAGTGAATGGCTATCAGCTACCAGAGGAAAACCCCGTGCCATAGTTCGTTCGCGTTTAGATTTTAATCATGTTTAAGAGTATATACAATTGTTTCGCAGTTTCACAAAAAGGGCTGCAATTAGCTTGCTTCTTTTCCAAATTTAATGGCGAAACTAAAGCGAGAAGACATGTAAGACACACTCCCATAAAAAAATAATCATTCAAATATACATCCTCATATTTTATATAAATTTTATGCAATCAAGAGATGGAGTTCTTAGACCTTGCATGGAAATTATGTAAACATTTAATAATAGGCGGCATGTTATAAAAACGTTTCGTCACATGAGTATTTTATTTTAAATAGCACTGATGCTAACATGACACGTTCCTTTCACTTCCTTCTAATTCGTCTCCAAGGTTTGAACGTGTGATCATGTTGTCACATCTTTGAACGCTTAGGAATGCGGCCTTCTGTGTCATTATTCTGGGAAAAGGAAGTTCTAAATCCAGTTGGCAATGAACTTCAGAATTTTAACAGAATGTCAACAACTGTCTAACCTTTCTTTTCAATCCTGAAAGGTTCTTAACAAAGAGGCGTAATATCTTCGACTACCACCAGACCTAGGGCCTTGAAGCTCCAAACGCATATCTGTCCTTACTTTTTCAACGACAGAGCACAATGCAAATTGGTTGATATCATGCATATTTCAAAGCAATTGGTTTCTTCGCTAAGCTAGAGCTGTAAATTTCCTCATCATATGAAATAAATTTAAAATTAATACGAAGCAAGTCTCACAATCACCATCCGTTCATACTTTCACCAATCTGCTATCCAGCTGCTCATCTTTTTATGCATCCACCTTCCCATCAATCGTATCACCAATCCTTCCATCAATCCAACCACTAATTAATTAACCAATCCCTCCATCCACCAAACTTTGGGCTAAAAACCTCTTCCAACTTCATGTCATCACATTTTATTTCATATTTCATACATTAGGTCCCATCCGAGATTATTCTTCTGACAGCACACAATTTTATACAATTGTTACTTGGCATCCCTAATTGTCCGATAGGATCGTGAAATTCTTACAGAAAACCAGAAAGAGAATCGACTATTAAAATACTAATGTGTAGTGTAGGTACAGTAATAAATCACGATAATAAGAAAACAACCGGAATTACAGCAGACAAAACTAAATTTATGAAAGGGGGAACAAATTTGGATGGGCTATAAAAGAAACGAAACCACACTAAAAGGACCAAATAAAGAAACTATATTAGTCAGAAATTTTAAATATAAAAGCAATTGGATTCAACACCTTGACCAAATACAATGAGAGAGACTTCCCAAATTGTTACAGAAGTACAAACCGCATAAACTACTAAGACCAGAACGAATCCTTCACTGCTAGATAATGGTCATGATGAAATCACTATACTGTAACTTTTTAAAATTAATTTCGTAAGTCTTAATACGACGAAAAAGTATTTTACATCCATTTTCGTACGACAATCGTCTTCTAATAAATTCGACAATATGAGATGTAAAATGAAACTCTCGCTCAACCGATATCCAGCAACAAATTTAATCAGAGTAAGTCCAATAGTATTTGGGATAAAGCAAGCAGGCAGACTGAAATAAGTGGGGAATTTAGAATATTTCATAATGAGAAGCAGCGTGAATTGTACGGGTCACCTAGCATAATGAGGATAGTGAAATTTTGGCTGCTCCGATGGTCTGGACATGAGGTACATGGGAGGGGGAAGGTGCATGCAGAATTTTGGACTGAAATCCTTCTGAAAAATAACCAGTGGGCAGACCAGAAAGGCGATGGGAGGATAATATCACGACGGATCTTAGGGAGGTGGGCTGTGTGGATGGAAAATGGGTGGAGTTGGCGCAGGATCGTGTCCGGTGGCGGACTTTCGTGTTGTCAGTGTTGAATATGCGGGTTCTGCTATGAGAGAGTTAGTTTGAATAATTTTATTTATTTCGTGCACACAAACACCAATGTTACGGAAGCTGCACTGTGCTGTATAACAATGGTTAAAAAAAGTTCGAACAACATCGACAAACAGCTGTGAAGATGAAGGCAACAGGCACCTCTGAAACGTCGGTAAACTTCAACCAGGGTGCACGGCACTATAACCCAGACGACTGTCATCTTCGTACTTCCTGCCGTGAGAACCTGAAATCTCTCCATTTTGCACTTAGAGGCTTAAGTTCCTTCTTTCTTGAGAAGGCACTGATTTGTGCTGCAGAAGAAACGGTAAATCAGCCGGAACGCCGGACAGGAATGAAGCAGCTGCGAGAAATCAGTGCAGTACATTCACGCAATCATGAAAGCTGTTTCGGTGTGGCGGACGGTAATTGGCTCTAAGAGTCATAATTTACCGGCGTTGCACTGAGCTCGTGCCCAGTTCGACGCTGGCGAGCCAAATAATCACAATAATTCGATCTGGAAGATCTAACACTCAGTTTGTGGAATGGCACTAATCACAGTATAAATAACAAGATACAGAAAGGCTACTCAACTACGAGCGTGTACTCCAATGACAGGATAAGGCACTCGCAACCCCTTTTTATGACTGTTATATGAGTTTGGATTATCTCAGCGTAAGGGAAAACAATTACAATTTTTTTTTGTAGGTGTAGGCCTATATAACATTAAAATAGCGTTATTGAACAGTAAGCCTACGTTGTAACGTTGCTCAAATCATGTAAAATTTAACAAAACAATATGAAAATTACTGTTATTTGTAACTAAAGTTTCATAAAATTAACAATGGTCATGAAATCAAAATTGTTTGAAAACTGTCACACAAAAACGCTAATTCACCAAATGCAAAGGTCGAATGAGACAGGAAACTTACCACGAATTTTCAATAAAATGTGGTCGTACGGTATTTGTGAGGGACACATCCACTGTTCCACATTCACACTACCAGTGAATGTTAATGACTGCCATTATTTTAGAACAATGGAATCTGTAAATTTAACGCAATGCTCATCAGGTCTATCAAAGTTTCACACATAATGTTAAAATCAAGCATAAGTACCTCAACCAGAGGTACTAAATCCTCATTTCGCTATGATAAGTATCAGATTCCAGTGGAACAATGACACAAATTTTATACAGAGAGAAAATATGTACTTTTAAAATTTTGCAATAAAGACAGAAGACTCACTTATCACAAAACACTATTTAAAACAACAACCAAACCTTGTGGCTCTCACAAGATTCTTGCGACGTAAATCATTTATGTTGACCAGCAGTCTCTTGCTTTTATCTGCCACCAAGTCCTTCACAAGTTGAGAGTAAGTACCTTCATTTTCCTGTAATACAGAAAACAGTACATTTCCTCTGACATAGGAGCCTACTCCTCCCTACCTCCAAACCAGTCATTCTCAAACTATTCCTAAAATGTCAAATAAAATGTGAACTCCTTAGCAAATTACGGGGACCAAGCAAAGTACAATACTTATTACTACTTACTTATAAAGAACCTTTGTTATTCGTTTCGGGAAAATACTATTAAAAATGGTGGGCCAGAAATTTGTTCTGGCCACTAAGCTGCTTTAAAATGCAAGGACTTGCCAAGCACTGCGAAATATCAGTTACTTATCACTATAATCTCAAAATTCACTCAAACCGTAGTTTCATGACAAAAATTCCATTAGACAAACTTCTCGGTACCTCATCATCTAAGAAATCCAAATATTCGCGCTGTAAATCCCTTAAACGCTGATCAATTTCCACTTCACCCATTCTTACAACACAGTGTAGTATAAATATACAATAATACGCTAAATTATTGCGATAACTGCAAAAAATATATGTTCGTTTCTATAGAACATTGGCACAATACATAAATGGCGCGAAACTAATGCAAGTGTGACAACGTCACATACAGGATAACCAACTACAAATATATTCCAATAGTTCAAAGTTGTCTCATTGGATGTCAGAATAACATGTTACTGGTGCTGCCATCTAGACACGTGTTCATTAAATTATGTCAGGATGCTTTCAACTTCCGGTAGAGGCGTTGGAATTATGCTAAACCCTCCGTTCTTCTCCCAGGACGTAACTCTCGTCGTGTGGAGCGCGGTTCAGTTGCAAAGAAAGTTTTGTAGTAGCACCGCGTAATGTGTGTATGGTATCAATTCTTACTACAGGCGCCATCATCATTGTTCAATTAACCTGTTGACATAACATAATGACGAACTTAAAAATTTATACTCCTCTCCCAATATTGTCAGGGTGATTAAGTCGAGAAGAATGAGATGGGCTGGGCATGTAGCGCGCATGGATGGGACAAGAGGTGTGCACCGGGTATTGGTTGGGAAGCCTGAGGGGAAGAGACCGCTGGGGAGACCTAGACGTAGATGGGAGGATAATGTCAGGCGGGATCTATGGGAGATAGGAGATGAAGGAGACTGGATTTTGTTGGCCCAGGACAGGGTCCAGTGGAGGGCTTTGGTTAATTCGGTGATGAACCTTCGGGTTCAACAATTTCCTTTGTATTTGTAAAAGAAGTTAATCTTATGCTGAAATGCAGTATACAAGACCTCGTGACTCTTAAACTTGTCCAAATTGTTTCCATTGCGGTGAACATTTAGGAAGGCAAAAAAAAGTTAATTTAGGCTTCAAACAAGAGCCTGTAACTGAAAAATATAAATGAAAAGAAGCATGAATGCAATACATCTAATTATATTAAAGCGCACAACTTTTTGATATATTTCACATTTTCCCTCGTAAACGTTCAAGAACCTGTGGGTCTATTAAGCGTAGATGTGAGCATAATGCAAATTCTGATTTTAGAAAAATGTGTTGTGAGCTGACATGGTTGAGCAGACGAAAGGAATTTGTGAACACGGTGACGAAACTTCTGGCTATATAACACCAGAGAATTATACTGGGTCCAGCATCACAGGAAAATTCATATTTTTCTATTTCTGCAGGCCATAATGTCTCTGAGCAAGGAAATCTGATGAATATAACAGACTGCATCCAGACTGCGAGTCAATAACACAGAGTCGTGTTAGCAGACCTGTTGCAAAGTTTAAGGAAACCGGATCCATAGAAGATAAACCACGCAGTGGACCTTCAAGGAGATCCACTGATGAAAATTAGGAGTGTTGAACATTGGCGGCAGCACATTATTGAGGGATGTAACTCAATTACCATGTGTTTGCTGACTGGTTATCACGTCTAAATTTGTTTACTGAGAACAAAGGTGGACATATTGAGCAAGTTCTGCGAATAAAAGCTTTTATTTTGCATTTTTAAAGTATTTTTCCTATGATGCTGGACTTATGGGACAGCCTGTACTTCAAGTGAATGGCTATCAGCTACCAGAGGAAAACCCCGTGCCATAGTTCGTTCGCGTTTAGATTTTAATCATGTTTAAGAGTATATACAATTGTTTCGCAGTTTCACAAAAAGGGCTGCAATTAGCTTGCTTCTTTTCCAAATTTAATGGCGAAACTAAAGCGAGAAGACATGTAAGACACACTCCCATAAAAAAATAATCATTCAAATATACATCCTCATATTTTATATAAATTTTATGCAATCAAGAGATGGAGTTCTTAGACCTTGCATGGAAATTATGTAAACATTTAATAATAGGCGGCATGTTATAAAAACGTTTCGTCACATGAGTATTTTATTTTAAATAGCACTGATGCTAACATGACACGTTCCTTTCACTTCCTTCTAATTCGTCTCCAAGGTTTGAACGTGTGATCATGTTGTCACATCTTTGAACGCTTAGGAATGCGGCCTTCTGTGTCATTATTCTGGGAAAAGGAAGTTCTAAATCCAGTTGGCAATGAACTTCAGAATTTTAACAGAATGTCAACAACTGTCTAACCTTTCTTTTCAATCCTGAAAGGTTCTTAACAAAGAGGCGTAATATCTTCGACTACCACCAGACCTAGGGCCTTGAAGCTCCAAACGCATATCTGTCCTTACTTTTTCAACGACAGAGCACAATGCAAATTGGTTGATATCATGCATATTTCAAAGCAATTGGTTTCTTCGCTAAGCTAGAGCTGTAAATTTCCTCATCATATGAAATAAATTTAAAATTAATACGAAGCAAGTCTCACAATCACCATCCGTTCATACTTTCACCAATCTGCTATCCAGCTGCTCATCTTTTTATGCATCCACCTTCCCATCAATCGTATCACCAATCCTTCCATCAATCCAACCACTAATTAATTAACCAATCCCTCCATCCACCAAACTTTGGGCTAAAAACCTCTTCCAACTTCATGTCATCACATTTTATTTCATATTTCATACATTAGGTCCCATCCGAGATTATTCTTCTGACAGCACACAATTTTATACAATTGTTACTTGGCATCCCTAATTGTCCGATAGGATCGTGAAATTCTTACAGAAAACCAGAAAGAGAATCGACTATTAAAATACTAATGTGTAGTGTAGGTACAGTAATAAATCACGATAATAAGAAAACAACCGGAATTACAGCAGACAAAACTAAATTTATGAAAGGGGGAACAAATTTGGATGGGCTATAAAAGAAACGAAACCACACTAAAAGGACCAAATAAAGAAACTATATTAGTCAGAAATTTTAAATATAAAAGCAATTGGATTCAACACCTTGACCAAATACAATGAGAGAGACTTCCCAAATTGTTACAGAAGTACAAACCGCATAAACTACTAAGACCAGAACGAATCCTTCACTGCTAGATAATGGTCATGATGAAATCACTATACTGTAACTTTTTAAAATTAATTTCGTAAGTCTTAATACGACGAAAAAGTATTTTACATCCATTTTCGTACGACAATCGTCTTCTAATAAATTCGACAATATGAGATGTAAAATGAAACTCTCGCTCAACCGATATCCAGCAACAAATTTAATCAGAGTAAGTCCAATAGTATTTGGGATAAAGCAAGCAGGCAGACTGAAATAAGTGGGGAATTTAGAATATTTCATAATGAGAAGCAGCGTGAATTGTACGGGTCACCTAGCATAATGAGGATAGTGAAATTTTGGCTGCTCCGATGGTCTGGACATGAGGTACATGGGAGGGGGAAGGTGCATGCAGAATTTTGGACTGAAATCCTTCTGAAAAATAACCAGTGGGCAGACCAGAAAGGCGATGGGAGGATAATATCACGACGGATCTTAGGGAGGTGGGCTGTGTGGATGGAAAATGGGTGGAGTTGGCGCAGGATCGTGTCCGGTGGCGGACTTTCGTGTTGTCAGTGTTGAATATGCGGGTTCTGCTATGAGAGAGTTAGTTTGAATAATTTTATTTATTTCGTGCACACAAACACCAATGTTACGGAAGCTGCACTGTGCTGTATAACAATGGTTAAAAAAAGTTCGAACAACATCGACAAACAGCTGTGAAGATGAAGGCAACAGGCACCTCTGAAACGTCGGTAAACTTCAACCAGGGTGCACGGCACTATAACCCAGACGACTGTCATCTTCGTACTTCCTGCCGTGAGAACCTGAAATCTCTCCATTTTGCACTTAGAGGCTTAAGTTCCTTCTTTCTTGAGAAGGCACTGATTTGTGCTGCAGAAGAAACGGTAAATCAGCCGGAACGCCGGACAGGAATGAAGCAGCTGCGAGAAATCAGTGCAGTACATTCACGCAATCATGAAAGCTGTTTCGGTGTGGCGGACGGTAATTGGCTCTAAGAGTCATAATTTACCGGCGTTGCACTGAGCTCGTGCCCAGTTCGACGCTGGCGAGCCAAATAATCACAATAATTCGATCTGGAAGATCTAACACTCAGTTTGTGGAATGGCACTAATCACAGTATAAATAACAAGATACAGAAAGGCTACTCAACTACGAGCGTGTACTCCAATGACAGGATAAGGCACTCGCAACCCCTTTTTATGACTGTTATATGAGTTTGGATTATCTCAGCGTAAGGGAAAACAATTACAATTTTTTTTTGTAGGTGTAGGCCTATATAACATTAAAATAGCGTTATTGAACAGTAAGCCTACGTTGTAACGTTGCTCAAATCATGTAAAATTTAACAAAACAATATGAAAATTACTGTTATTTGTAACTAAAGTTTCATAAAATTAACAATGGTCATGAAATCAAAATTGTTTGAAAACTGTCACACAAAAACGCTAATTCACCAAATGCAAAGGTCGAATGAGACAGGAAACTTACCACGAATTTTCAATAAAATGTGGTCGTACGGTA